TGTTGGGTGATGGGACAACCATTAGGAAGTCCAAGGCTAGAGGAATACAAACCGACAAGCAAGGTAGCTTGGTGAAGTGTTCAAGAGCTAGCTCTAGTTCCCCCAGGAAATCGAATGGTCGATGCTCCTAGTCCAAGTATGGGTGGCATTACCTACTTAGATGGCTCATCGGAACCTTGCTCTAAGCCCATGGCTAAAGTACCCAAAGGCAGAAGATGGGGAGAGTACCCATGAGGCTCATGTAGGGCTACAGTGTTCCGAAATGTTGTCCCAAAGTTCCAGACTATGGAAAGGAAGAAGAGCAATCCTCTAGTATAGTGACTAAGGATACGGTCACATGGTGAGGAAGTCCCAAAGGACAGTGGGACTTAGTGGTTGGGCCTGCAAGCCTTGATCTAGTGGCAATGTTGGCAAACACGGCCATGGATAGAAAGGGACTTGGTGGAGATTGTAAAAGGGGTATTGGGGAAAGATATTCCCCATGCCTGCGGGCACCCTAAGGATGATGAAGAATGGATTTGGGATGACCACTCATGGACGGATGGCCCAGTCTTGGAGAGACGAAACTGTGATGCAGGTGATATTGGACCACTAGTGTGGCAAAGATAAATGGGCATGGCCTTAGCATAATAGGCTGATATGTCAGTGGTACCTTTGGGTGTTGGTCATTGGATTGGACACGTGGAGCACTTGGACCAAGTGCAAAGATTGAATGGTAGGGATGTCATTCTCGGGGCTAGCTAGCCCCAAGTCCGAAGAAGGACTTATGGAGGTTGTGAGTGAGACTCCTCTAAGTGGTCAGAGGTGTGGTTAAGTGACTAAAGTAAAATGGAAAATTTAGTCACTTACAACAAAAATGTGACATCTTTCAAAACTTTTAAGAAGGGCATTCTTGTGTGAGGAAGCATTCCTCACTAACAGCAAAGATATAGAGCATTATGCTACTCACCAACAAGGTTAGGGATTAGAGTTGGCTCTAGCCGAGCATAGTCCAATGGATTATGCTCGAAGGCAATAGTCCTTATTTCATCAATAAATAATGCATCCTCCTTAAAACTAGGAGGGAATAGAAGAACTAGGAGATCTTCATTGATAAAGCTAGTGGATAGTGGCTCATCTTGGCTCTATTGGGAGAAGTTATCTTTGACGAAGATCACATCTATACTAATGATCGTCTCTTTGATTGTTAAATCCCAAAGCTTGTATGTTTTACAATTGTATTTTTCATCTTGTGCATAACCAACAAAGATAAACTTTTGACTTTTCGAATCAAGTTTCTTGCGTTGTTGGTTAGGGACATGTGTAAAGGCAGCACAACCAAAAACACAAAGGTGAGATACATCTAGGTTCTTCCCTATCCACATTTCTTCAAAGGTCTTCCCACTCAAGACAACTATTAGCAACTGATTTTGGATGTGTAATGCCATGGCAATGGCTTCTTGCTAGAATCTTTTGTCCAACTTGGCTCCTACCAAGAGGTTATAGATAGCATTCACAAATGTGTGGTTCTTGTGCTCAACAATGCCATTTTGCTGACATTCAAGTACTTTTTTCTTTCATTAATTTATATGGCCTTTAATCTTCTTTCAAGCTTTGTCTCAGCATAGAACTTATAGAATTTAAAGGGTTCAATAGCCTTATTCTTGTTTCGAAGGAAAAATATGCATATCTTCCTACTATAGTCACCAACAAACATGAAATATCTTGCTCCAAAATAACTTAGGATCTCCATTGGTCCACCAAATATGAATGGATAAGCTCAAGTGGTTGGGAATTCCACCTCTTTGATGATGCAAAATTTTGGTGATGGTGTTTTCCAAGCATATATGACTCCCTTTTCAAGTCAAGTCCCGTAACCATGCCTTCTATGTATATTTCCCATATGGCCTTGTAATTGGCATGACCTAAATGGCAATGCTATAAAAAGGCATTATTATTTTTGCTTTAGTCAAAGGAAGGTGTTTAACATTTATTGCATGTTGCTTTCCAAAAGAAACTTTATATAAGTTTCCCCATACAAAAACTTCATTCCAAACATCTTGAATGTGCATTTGTCAATAAACACAACACCTTTATCATCAAAGATCACCACCATATTATTTTCACAAACTTTGGCCACTAACATGAGATTCCTTCGAAAGTTGGAATATACATTGTATTTATATTATTTCCATTTTCAAGCTTAATCTTGAAAGTTCCCATGTCATGAATTCCAAGGCAGATGTCATCTCTCAGAACAACTCCATTGCTCTAGCTCACAAACTTATACTCCTCAAACATATATTTATTTATAGACATCAAACTGGTATAACCAGAGTCCAACCCAAGCTTTATTACTCCCAAGAGTCTCACCATTTATGGCTCTCTTCTTCTATGTTAATTACATCATCTTCTTCAATGCCCAAATGAGTTATGTCTTTGGCATTAGGGCAATCACGAACCCAATGACTATGCTCCTAGCACAACTTGCATTGGTCACAATCAATGTGCCTAGATTTGCCTTGTCTACCTTGCCTATGGCTTGAACAATTACTCCCTTGCAAGCTCTTAGCAGCTCATGACTTCAAGAGCCTTCAGTAACTCCATCTTGAGAGTTTTCTACATCTCCCTTAGCATATCTATTGTAACCGCTTCTAGTTCTTGGCATCCCTTGCTGCACATTGCAACCATGCCCAACATAAGATTTGTTTGCCACATTCAGCTAGCTGCATCTTGCATATATAGACTGATGAACCTCATGGGTTTGGGCTCTCTCTTTGTATAGCAAGGAGGTGTTTATCAATCTGGTGACTGCATCATCAATTTAGCTCTTTAATCAGCTCTTTTGCACACCCTCCCATTCTTGTGGTAGAGTCTTATAGAGCTTCACTTTCTACATTGATTCGGGAACCTCATGCTCCTTACCTTCCGTAGCTAAATCTACAAACAGTCAGCTTAAATGCTTAGTGTGTTCCAGCATATCACCCCCATCCTGGAAAACACACGTATCTAGCAACAAATGGATCCTCATGACCTCCTTCTTCTTACTGTAGGTGTCATCTAGCCATTTCTAGATATAGGCTCCTCCTTGTCCCATATCCACCCTGATCAATATCTCGTGACTCAAGTAAGAGCAAATGTAGCCAATAGCCTGTTGATTCCTAGTCCTCTAGTCCATCAAAACCCTTTGACTGAGTATTGGCTCTAGATTGGAGAGATCCACAATGCCATACACTCCCTAGAACCAAAGCCATGCTTCCATGAGTTTCTTCCAGAAACCAAACTCCTTACCACTGACAAACAAATGGCTTTATGCCTCCATTAGGGAGGGCACTACTCTCTACCATGCTGTCTACAGACCCTTAGCAGTAACGGCATGGTTGAGAGTAGAGGAGTGGAGCTCCAATGTTAGAGAAAACTCAAAGGTACAAATGGAAAAACCCTAGTGTAGTTTTTGTGCTCACTTGAGTTTCAGTTTATATCTTAACATTTCTTGTAGTTTTTAGCCAATTCACCATGACTCTCATGTTCTCATTTTTGCTGTAGTTATATCCATGGCTCCAATTTCTTGTTAAATTGTGCCAACCTCATCTATCAAGAGCAATTGGAAGTTTTTGTTGTCCCTCAATGCCTCTCAGCCTCCTTTATGTCTTCATTAGAAGCAGTTGTTTTATCATGCAATCACTCAAACTTACAACCAAAAATAATGAGTGGAAAAAGGGAAAATAGTTTGAAAATGTGCCACCACCAAATTCAAAGAACTTTGTTAGATTTGCGATTGATTACATGTCTGGCTCTACACATTGAAAAACCCACATATAGGACCATAAACTCCTCCACACTGTAAAATAACAAGGGGTTCTACTGTAAAACAATGCTAGGGTCAATGTTGGTATGCAATTGTAGAAGCAGAAGTTCTTACCACAATCTATCTGCATTATAGGGTTATCAAGTAAATTATCCAATTCTTCCATAAGCCATTTATTATCATTTTCCTTTGCTTCATCAGCATTAGCATCATTAGTCATAGGTTCAACATTATGTTCTTTTACATCAGCATTAGCATCATCAATCATGGGTTTAACATTGTGTTCTTTTACATTTTTCTCTTCATGGCTTTCCTTTTCCACATATGCCCGACAAGCCACATTCTTTATAAATGTTGGTGAAGTAATTCCACTATTAGTAGATGCTCTTGAACGAATAGCAAAGGAATATCAAGCTTCTAGAATGTTAGGAGAAAATACAAAACTTAATTACCATTAGAATCTATTTTTCTTAGCCAACATGCATAAGTTTTTTTCTAGTAGCACAGGAAATGTGTTCCGAGTGAATTGCTTATTAATATTATTGCCAATCAAAGCCCAAGAAGTTGATGCTATCTAGTAACATGGCTTGAGGGAGCTCTCACCAAACTTGAGTACCTTAAAAATGACAACTAAGCCTGCATGTAATGGGATTGCTAAATAGAGCTTTTGGATTCTCTCCCGATAACATATTACATTATCTATAGAAGAAAGGCATTGGTCTAATATGCTCCTGCCCATTTTAGGCATTGTGGAAGCTTGATCCAAATCTCTAAGAGTTCTATGATCTTGATGCAAGTTCATTTAGTTCCTGGGCAATGAGAAAATGAAATCTCTAGTTAAACTCACTGTTCTCTAGCAGTTATGTAATGGTAAGCACCAATATATTCCTGAGATATAGTTTGAGTAGTTTGATCCAGAGAGCTGAGAGAGGTGATCAATGCTCAAATTAGCTACTTGTCCAGCGATGAAGAGGCGATGAAGAAGACACAAACTCCAGAAGCCAAACCCAAGACTGAAGATCGAGAGCCTTCATAAGCTCTTGAATGTGTTGGTGTGAACGCTTGAGAATTTTTCTTTACTAATCTTGATTAAGAATGACTTTAGAATGCAATCACGTGAGTGACCATGCCGTCTTTTTTTCTTTTTCTCGTTTTCTCTCCTCTTATCAGGAACGCTAGAAGTTGCTCTTAGGTCGCAAAAGAGAGAGTCCTATCCAGTCGACTCGTCAACTTTTCACACCCTCATCTGTGGAGGTAACAGACATCGACTCAGATGCATTAAGAAAGTATGTTCACAACCGTGAGGCCGAACTAGCACCATTTGCGTGTTTTGCAATGTACTTTAGCTACGGACACCATATAATCTTGGGACCTGTAAGAACGACTCTGGTGAGTGTTTCTTTTTTGTTTTTTGGTTATATTTCTTACGTTGATCCGTAGCTACTTGCACACGCAGACATAATAGCAGACTTTGCTGGTTCAAATTCTCCCTAATTTCGTCAAAAAACGCAGCGAAAGGTTTCGAAAAACATCACAAACAATTCGTACCAAAGCTTCGTAGTAAAGCCCAGAATACAAGGAAGCATAGAAGAATGCTTGACCTCTATCTTCCTTTAGAAAGCTACCCAGCATCTGCTAAGAAAATAGATAGAACTTTGTGTTGATATTGTAGAGAGATACCTGTTGAGGATCACCACCTTGTTTGTAAAGCTTGTAAATTTGGTTCATATAAGCCCTGCTATCTTTACCCGTCTGGAAAAAATGAAAACCAATAGTTGAGAAATTGATAAGAAAAAACCATACGTCTGGGATTCTTTGACGAGCCTCCTCTAAACTATAAGATCGGGCCTCACAAAGGAAGCACCATAAAGCCTGAAAGAGGAGAGAGAAATCCGATGTACGTTTATAGAAAGAAAAATTACCTCCTCGGAGTCGTTGTTCCCCAGTTTTGTATCCTCTCGAAACTGAGCAGCACCTTCTTCAAATCTTTTGCAAAGTTTTGCTCAAGCTCTCAAAAGGGAGAAGAATCCACTACTAACCTGTCGAGATAGAACAGTGAAAGTCCCCTCTGCCACAGATCTGTGTTCACAACTTCAGTTTTTCTGGTGTGTGTTTGGATCTTTAAAAATTGATTCACTCACAAGGGAGTTCTTCCGGGAAAGCATCCAACACCTTGTTGAATTGCTCCAAAGATCCAGACACATCTCCCTTTCCACCACAGAAGAAAGAAACCAAGGAAGCTCAGAGGACAAAACGAGTAAAGATGGCTACGAAGAACATATACCTGCGAGAAGAGCTCCATTCCATGCCTCTTCCAATCCAGAGCCGACATTCTCCCGAATGGAAGCCTCGACGATGCAAGAACCACGGCTATGGCAGCAATAGCCGCTCCAGTAACACGCCTCTCCCACGCCGGCCTTCTTCCATCTCCAAACTTTACGGCTCTAGACGCTGGAATGGGCGGAGCAAGCGACAGTCGTGGAATTCTATACCCAATGGCCACCGCCTTCCACGCCATAGCTCGGCCTCTTTGCACATCGGACTGTCACCTCTTCTTAAATTAGCGTTGCTCTCGATCGGAGCTTTTGAAAAACAAGAGATCTAGCATGGTTGCTGGTCACGGACGCGGATGCAGCACGAAGGGATCCAGCGCCGCATCGCCGTGAAGGATGCCACGGTGCCCCGAGACAACCATGTTGGATATACGTGCTCGCTCGCGGCGGCGTGGGCGATCGATCCACGCATGAAAGTGGGCAAGGATTCAGTGGCGTATCATCGCCGCCCACTTCGAGAATCGCCCTCGACCTTTTTAAATCGATACAAGCTGTGTGAGCGCCAAGATCACGGTGATGAGTTGAGATCCGGCATTGTCTCGTAGATGTCCCTGGCACTCACAAGCTGGCCTTCCTGTGCATAAGCTTGCATCATCACAGTGGATGTCACAGCGTTTATCTCTGGCATTTCGACGAAGATTTTCAATGCTTCCTCGGATAATCTGCAGCTGACCAGTGAGAGAGTGTTGTAAGACACCAGGTTGTGGCCGGGCATTTTCTCAAGGAAATTTTTGCAGTGGTGGATGTCGGGTGTGTAGCAAGCGAACATGGTGTTCCAGGAGCCCATGTCCAGGCACGCCAAAGCATCAAACATTGCTCAAGCTTTGTGGATCTTGGAGTGATCCGCGTCTAAAACAATCATGTTGGAAGCAGCTGGGTTCATTGAGTATGGTTTCTTGCATGATCTGAAACAAATTCTCTCCATCTCCGCAAATGCTTGAAGAATCACGCTCCATCACTCTGGCATAATCGCATCCGTGTAAGTTTTCAGCATAGTTGTCCACGACACAATATTGTGAGCAGCAAGCCACTCCCCATTAAGGTCAGCACAAAACACGGTAGGTCTTTGTTTCTCTTTCTGGTATTTCTTTTTATCCCAAAACCATGATCACATAGCAGCAAAGTTCAGGATGAATACTTAGTAAACTTAAAAGAATGCATATCCTCTGGTTTATAACAATGTCTTCATTAATATGGTGTGGTTTCTGTGATGGTTACATTTCACACTTTGTTCTTCCGACAAAAGTAAACATAAATGAAGGGCCTCAAATGTGGCACTTGTCACATGTACATTTCAGCTTCTTTCGGACAAAGGTTGTGGAAACCACTAGCACCGAAATGAGAATGTTAATTTTTAATAGAAAAAGAAAAACCGTGGAGAATATAATACATTTTCTTGCTTGATTAGATATGGACAGAAACATGGGACTGAGAAACCATGAACACATAAAAAAAGAAAATTCTTAGTACTGAAAAGAGTTGTTAGTTGTTTGCTTTGACAAAAGTGTGATTTGAAAAAGCCATAATTAAATGTTTCTTTGGTGATTGATGATCACAACCTACAAATGATCCATATTGAGTGTTTTGATGTTTGTAACTATCCCAATCCCAAATGTGCAGCTATGGAGTCTTAAACTGGAGTCAAGAAAAATCAGTGGATTGATGTACTTTGATACATGCCGTTGACTCGCATAGATGTACTTCATCATAGTCCTCGCAAAGGCTCAAACTTGGAGGCTGTGATTTGAAAGAAAATAATAATCTTCTGGATTTGAGCTTTAGAGTAAGAAAAAACTGAAGCTTACAATGAAAGAGGTTTAATATGACAAGTAATTTCTTTTGGTACTGGTTATGCAAATAAAACTTTTTCTTACAAGAGAAATGTGAAATTACTGAATGCTATTTGTAAAATAGGCATTTATATGTCTATAGAAGCAGTACTAGATTCTCTAGTATATTCCACCAATGGGTCAATGGTTAGAGCAAACTTTTAACTTTTGTTGCTATTGTGATATGTTTTAACATGGTTTGGGTTGATTTTAAGTGTATGGTTAAAATTTTTGGTAAATTTATTTAAATTAATCTTGATTAAAAGACTAAAGTTAGCAAAAGCTAAATTTAAATTTAGATCTATAGCATAGAGTTTTATATCATTAGCAAATAGGATTGTTTGAATGATAATCCTTTATGCTAACATCTATCGTTTTATTGACAAACATCTTTTTTGTTTTTCTTTCTTGTAGTTATTTTCATTACTCCAATTGCTTGTTAAATTGTGCCAACCTCCTCTACCAAAAGCAATTGGAAGTTCTTGCTGTCCCCCAATGCCTCTCAGCCTCCTTTGTGTCTTTATTAGAAGCAATTGTCTACTTGTCATGCAATCATTCAAACCTACAACCAAAAATGGTGAGTACAAAAAGGAAAACTAATTTGAAAATGTGGGGCACCAATAAATTCGAAGAACTTTGTTAGATTTGTGATTCCATGTCTAGCTCTATACACTAAAAAACACTATTATCATTTTCCTTTGCTTCATGAGCATTAGCATTACTAGTCATGGGTTCAACATTGTGTTCTTTTATATTTCCTTCTTTGTGGCTTTCTTATTCCACATATGCCACATTTCTTATAAATTTTTGGCAAAGTAGTTCTATTAGATGCTTTTGAAAGAATAGCAAAGGAATATTAAGCTGGAATTGCTAAATAGAGGTTTTTAGATTTTCTCCTTATAACATATTGAGTTATCTCTAGAAGAAAGGCATTGGTTTTATATGCTCCTCCCCATTTTAGGCATTGTGGAAGCTTGATCTAAATCTCCAAGAATTCTATGATCTTGATGCAAGTTCATTTAGTTAGCCATACTGATGTAATTGCCATGCAACTAGGATGGCAATATACTTTGTATATATTACCATTATTATTATTATTATTGCCCTAGAGTTTGAGCTATCATGCAAGCCTCTTCTTTGATTCATGTTGTGTGTATGCCAAGGATTGCATGTTCATGTTTATATATACTTGAACACTTGCAATAACTAATGATAGAAACTACCCATGAATGGTTGTCTCTTTGAATGATAAGAACAAACATTACTAATGGCTCGGTTAGTAAAGGGCTAACAACGACAAGGTGGTAGTGGTCAATGGATAGACCTTCACATGAGGACAATGAGGCCATAAAAATGTTATGCTGTCATGAGGTGGAGTTGTGGTTTTTTAAGAGTTGAGGAGGGGTGGTGTGAAAAGAAAACCCTCAGGCAATAGCTTCAAACCAAGCAAAGAAGGCATCATTGTTCAAGTGAACTCATAGCACTTGGCCTTTTGTTTCTTGTTCCCAAGCATTAATGATGTTAGGGAGAGTGCTTTTCAATGGAGGCAGTACCAGGAGATCAAGAGGATCTTTAGAATCTGGTATCTTCCTTGTGATTCATTATTTCTTATGTGCGTGTGTCTAGATTAAAAGAGACAAAAATGAAACTAACTTAATAAAATAAGTAAAGCAAACTTACCATCACTTCAACCACTTCCATGTATTTCTCCAAGCAAGACAGTGTTAGATAACAAGCACTCATAACTTCTTCCTCCAAGCCAAAACTAACTTTCCTCTTTTGCTATGGAACTCAAGGCACAACTTCCCCAAAACCATCACTATAAGTGCTAACATTTTTTATATATTATCAAGATTGAGAACATTTATCAATAATAAATCAGTCCCCATGAAAGATATTTGCCTTCTTGGACTTTCCAACAAAGTTTTACAGTGTTTAAAATAACAACACACAAAGTTAAGGAAAGATATTTGACTAGAATATTGAGAGAACCTAAAATTGGGATAAAGAACCAATGAAAGAAACCACTTAAATTCTCCACAACTTATTTTGATTTCTTATTATGTCAATCATATAAAAACTTGATTAAACATCCCATGACTTTGTGAAAAGATATTAGTTCTAATCTTAGTTTATACTTTTGACCTTTATTTTTACCATAAGCTTCCGTGGATTATTTATTCTATGTCAGTGGAAAGCCCAGTCTTTGTTAGCCTGATCCATGCTATTGTTTTTGTAGAAGACATCCCTCATCAAGCCTCTCTAGCTTGGAGACCCTTCTTCACAATCGCTAACACCTGCCTGACTTGCAAAGAAGTGTAATGTTTGGAGCACAATCCTCTATCCTTTCTCAGGTCCTTGAAAGAGCCATCCTTGGAAAAAAGAAAGAGAGAGAAGCGTCATCTACATAACGCATTAGGTTGAGCTTTGATGGTCTCGGAAACTTCACTGAAGAATCCAAACATTTGGAAAATACTTCAAGGCCTGGCGCCCCAAGAAATTCCAGAAAGGAAGATCAAAGAAATGTTTGCAAAAGATATCGGGCCTCCTTGGGCGCCCTGGGTACCAAGCGCTATCCGGTAGGTCACGGTGGGGTTGACCATACCGACTTAGCACTACTGGGTCACCGACGAGGGGGGCCAAGTGGTCAAGGGTCAGCGACCCCATTTACTAAGCAACCCGAGGGATGCAAGCGCCCTTTCAGGCTCTCCCGGATTAACCCTCCTTGCAACTCCATTTCTTTTATACCGGTGTTCCTCTACTGCGCCTTGGCTGGTGGGATAGGTTTTCAGCTTACATGGCACAACATCCGCATCTCCGGGATGACTAGGATTGTCGGTTGTCAACCTGGCATTATCCAAGTACCAGCCGACATTTTCGACAACCTTTTCATTTCGATGGATTTTCCACCCAGAAGAATCATCCACAAGCCCGGCTGTGGAACAAATGGCATGGATTGCTCCAGCTGACTCGCCCTGGGAGAGATCCCAAAGTCTGCGATCATGGACAAAAATCTCGGCAACACTGCTCGAGCTGGCTCGCCGCCGCTGCTAGAATTGTTGTGAAGATGGTCTCGTCTGGCTTGAAAGCCAGAAAGATGCATCTCTCGAAAGAGATCCAGTGCCTCGCTCACGCGTCCGTTCTGGACATAGGCCGCCATGATCGAGCTCCAGGCCTCAAAGGCTCAAAGGCTCAAAGGCTGTTCTCAAGGATTGGGCTGTGCGAGCGCCAAGATCACGGTGATGAGAGCCACTGAGTTGCGATCCGGCATTGTCTCGTAGATGTCCCTGGCTCTGGCAAGCTGGCCTTCCTGTGCATAAGCTTGCATCATCACAGTGGACGTCACAGCGTTTATCTCTGGCATTTCGACGAAGATTTTCACTGCTTCCCCGGATAATCTGCAGCTGACCAGTGAGGTAAGACACCAGGTTGGGGCCGGGCATTTCTCAAAGAAATCTTTGCAGTGGTGGACGCCGGGTGCGTAGCAAGCGAGCATGGTGTTCCAGGAGACCATGTCCAGGTACGCCAAAGCATCAAACACTGCTCGAGCTTTGTCGATCTTGGAGTGATCGGCGCAACTGGGATCGTCGAGTGTGGTTTCTCGCATGATCTGAAAAAAACTCTCGCCATCTTGTACATGCCCAAACCATACGCTCCAGGTGATTGAGCTTCGCTCTGGCATAATCGCAAACAGTCGCTTCGGCCCGTTAAGGTTACATGCATCCACGTATGTTTTCAGCATAGTTTCCACGACACAATATTGGGAGCAGGCATTGCGTCAAAGGGATCTTTCGCCATGGAGAAATCCCCAGCCTGGGCAAATGCCGAGATTATAGCGTTCTATTCTTGCGCCGACGCTCTGGAACACAGTCATAGCCTTGCCCGTGTTGCCACTGAGAGCGTAGCGAGGAATCATAGGCGTTCACGTGTTCTCGTGGTGAGCAGGCGTGATTTGAAAGAGCTCTATGGCTTTGCTGTAATGCCCGGTCTGGGCATATGCGCACATCATGGAGTTCCACGACACCACGTTCCTCATGGGCCTATTCTCGAACATACATTGCGCGAAATCCAAATGCCGTTCTCGGCGTAGGCATTCATCATAGCCGTCCATGTAATCACGTCCTTGGACGGCATCCTGTTAAAGACCCGGCGCGCGTCGTCCAGATGCCCGCTCTGGGCATACACCCGGAGGAGGATATTCCGGAGAAGGAATTGGGATCTTTGATGCCAGCGAAGACGGAGAGGGCGTGCTCGAGGCTGCCACAGAGCGCATAGGAGATTGGCGAGGTAGCGATGGTCGCGGCATTGCGCGCAGTCGCGATCGAGGGTGTTGACATTGGCAATCCTGCGAAGAAAATCTTCTACTTGCTGCTCGTTTGCGCGAGAAGGAAAAGAGGAGGAATGGATCATCCATCCAAACTCGCCAATTCCCTCACTGTTCTTCCCCCGGGGATTGTTCTCCAGCGCTGAGATCAAGGTTCTCAGGCAGCGGATCCCCAAATATGAAGAAATGCTCGCGGCTTACAAACACCGCGTCTAGCTCAAGCAAACCAGAGCGTTGATATTTATCTTTGGATAGAAGTTTTGGATCATCTTTTCTCTCTTGTTATGACGTGGTTTCTTCCATCTCCACCGAAGAGCTTGTTCTCTGGACGAATTCGTTTTCCACCCTCGACTCTGCCAGGCCGCAGCGGAGCTCCTGGGATCAAACAGAGTCGATCGATAAGCTTTTCGTTTTCCTTCTCCTAAGATAAGAACTTCGTCTCTAGATTCGTAGTCTCTTCATCAAGCTCCCAGGATTCAGTGTCACCAAACTGGCACTCTGATCTCAACAAAATCCTTCCTCGCGTTTTGGATTCCACTCCATTCACTGTCACAAACAGACTCCACGCTCCACTTTGCGTTTGCTCTGCCGTATTGGCAATCGAATCGAACCGAGGGATGGACAACTTGGAGCGAAGGGGATACTCAATTGAAACTTACAGAGAACTCGCTGCTGGAGACGCGTAAGTAGTTTTTTTTCTCTTGACTTCCATGAGTTTGTATCGTTGTGAATCCAGGACTCTCCACCATGGCTGGACCTTGCACTTTGCGCCCGAGCAACCGGCTAGTAGCTCGCCGTCTCGTCTTGCATGGACAGTGAGCTACTTTGGCGATGGAGCACGCTTGCTCAGCACAAAACACGCAAGGTCTTTGGTTTTTGTTTGCGGTGTTTGTTTTTATCTCAAGATCACGCAGGAGGAAAGTCCAGGATGAAGACTTTGGAGGCTGGTTCAAGGACGTAAATTCACGGTGGAAGAAAAACTATGGAAAATTCCTTTCCTTGTCTCGAGTAAATATGGCCAAAGACAAACACTCAACTTGATGCAGCATGGGGACTCTCCATTTACAAGTGAGAAGCCGTGGCACATGAAGAAAGTAAATTCCTAGTACCGCCAATCACTTTGACATACGAAAAATCAATAAACAAAAGGATGATCAGAACTTACAAATGATCCATACTGAGCATTTTTTATGTCTGTAAAAATCCCAGTTGGTCTGGATGTCCAACCGTGGGGCCTTAAAGCCGACCCAAGGAAAATCCAGTCAGAAGCATAGGCCACGCGACAGCTGCTTACACAAAACAAAATACAACCAACAATGGTGGCTTGCTTTATCAGCGTAACATTTTATCATCCTGAAGCGTACCTTTGGCTCAAAACTATAACTCCTACCGATGATGCCTAGCAGTGATGACTGTGGCTGCAATCAAACCAGGAAAAGGGGACGATCCAGAAACGAAATGAGTTTGGATTCAATAGATAAGTTAAGAAAAATCACAGTCCAAATTCATTCAAGCCAAATCGTTCAAGCGCTTTGATCTTGGCAGCCAGGGTTTGTCTTCTAGTGTTTGTTTTTCTTTATGAATTTCCCGGACTAGGGAAGTCCAATGTTCAAATTCTGGAATAAATGGCATATTATCAAAGAGCTCTTTTGCCTCCTCTAAGTTCCCAGCTCTTGCCAAGAGGTCTATCATGCAACCAAATTCTTGCCTCGTCCAGGGAGTACCATGGTTTGCGCAAATCGACTGGAAGTAGCGTCGACCGGCCATAACATCGCCCGAGTGGCTACAAGCGTTCAAGACACTTATCATCAGCACCTCATTTGAATCTAAGCCATTCACACACATGCTCCAAAAGGTGTCAAGGGCATCTCCAATAGATTCTCCAGATTTGGCTTGGAAAGCTGAATTCTGCACGATGGGACTGTCCTGTTCCAGAGATCTTTCTGAGTTTTTTGTGGCTTTTGATGAGAATCCGGCCTGCCTGAGAGATGTTAGCAAGACTGTCGTGGAGAAAGAATCGTGGTGCTGATGGTGGAAGAGCTTGAGAGCTTCGTGCTGGTGGTTATTATCAGCGAGTGCTACTGCAAGTGTTGTCAATGAAACAAGATCATGCTCAGGCATTCTACAGTTGAAAAACTCCTTTGCAAATGCTAGATCTCTGTTCTGCACAAGTGCTTCCAGCATTACGTTAAGCGAGACAAGGTTACGGCTAAGCATTGTGTTAAATGTGGTCTCAGCTTCCAAAAACAGCCCGTTCCGGGCGTATACTGCAACGAGAGCTGTTGCCGAGAAGAGGTCATGGTGCGGCAATTTTGCTAAGATAAAGCTTAGAAAACTAGAATCAAAGTCGGTTTTACTAGCAGAAAGCAAGGTAGAAAAAGACATGGGAGTAATTTCAGGAATGTAATAAAGTAAATCATTACAACGATCCATATGCCCGGTTCCGGCGTAAACTGCAAGCATAGCGTTCCACGAGACAGAATCTTTCTCGCACAGTTTTGAGAACAAGTTTTCAGCTTCGTCAACTTTTGAGTTTCTCGCATAAACATAAAGCATTGCATTTGATGATATTACATCGTGATACGGCATACCATCAAAAACGTCTTTCGCTACATCAACTCCGCCTCTTTGGGCATATGCTGCAAGGAACAATGTTGTCGACGGGATATCATGCTCCGGCATGGACTCATATATTCTTCTGGCTATCGCCCTGGATTCATTTTCCTGGAGGTGGAAAGAAAGGAGGAGTGTCCAAGTGATGATATCATGGAGCTCCATCCAGTCAAAAAACGATTTTGGGACAAAAGAATGCCCGAGAGAGGCAAATTTCTTGAGCACAGAGTTACCAGATACAAGATCATACTCTGGAAGTCTCTTTAAGAAATCAATCACACTTTGAAAATCTCCGGATTTCGCAATTGCATCCAGTATTGAGTTCCACGAGAAGAGATTTCTAGCAGGCATCCCGTCAAAGATTAGTGCCGCATTTTTCAGATACCCTGATTGGGCATATGCAGAAACGAATATCGTCCATGAAACCAGACTTTTCTCCAGCATTGAATAAAACATCACGGAAAGAGCTTCTAGATTTTTCTGCCGAGCGTACGTCCCTAGCATCAGATTGAAGGAGACGAGATTCCAGCCGGGCATTCGATAAAAGAAATCAATAGCCTCACTAAATTGCCCGTGCCTGGCAAGTGCCGTAAGCATCGCGTTCCAGGAGACAATGTTCTTGGCAGGCATCGTATCAAAAACGCTCTTGGCATTGGCCAGGCTCCCATCTTTGGCAAGCGCGCTGATCAACTTGTTCTGCCGGGAGACGATATCATCGAAAGTGTTGTGACACAAGAACTCGAAGTTCCTTAGCGCTACTGTCATTGATTAAGGTTGCTAGAGTTATCCAAAACCTTGAATCTTCTTTACATATTGTGCATCTTATCAACAGTTTCACAAGGTCGGACGATCGATCTTTAAGGTATTATAAGAGTAAAGTAGATTATTAAAGGTTGATTCATTGCAAAAGATTAGTGCCACTACAAAGATTGTCTACGTCGCTTGATCAAGGAAATCAACAACTTCACTAAATTATCTGTGCTTCGCGTTCTATAAGATAATGTTCTTGGTGATCGAGGTCTCATCTTTGGCAATAAATTTGTTCTTAGTTGTGACAAGAACTCGAAGTTCCTAAGCTGGTCTCGTCCCAAGCAAAAAAAATCTTGGTAGAGCACTCAAGGATGGCACTTATTTCAAGTTTCATAGACCATGGAGAGCTCGAGAAGGCGCGACGATGGGATGCGAAAGGTGGACACGGCCGAGCGGCAGGAGCTATGGAGGAAGCGATAGATCTTGTTCACGACCATCCTCTTGAACCAGCTGCGGCTGCCCGTGTCGAGAATGCTGTGACCCACGACGTGAACAGCGCCCCTCCGCTTCGCAACATCCAGCTCCACCATCTCCATCTCAGCCGCGCACTCCATCACGCAATGCGCCGCCGCCGCCTCACCGCTGCTCCTCCCCTCCAGCTCCTTGGACTTCTCCTCGTACTCCGATCGAATGAGGTCCACCAAGCTGGCGATCACTTGATCCACGAACTCCTCTTTCACCATGTCGACGTGATCCAGGTAGCCGTAGCGAGCAACGCAGCGATAGAGTCCCTTGACGCCGCTGCCACGCGCGACGAACAGCCTCTCGCTCTCCAGGACCGTCTTGACGGGCACCACCCGGATGGTGAGGAAGATGACCACCTCGTGCAAGGATCCCACCGCTCGCATGTAGTGTCCCATGAGCGGAGGGAGGCCTCCGCCGTGGATGAGGTTGCTGTAGAAGAGGCAGAGGCCGGGAACTCGTGTGACTTCCAAGCTCGAGCACAAGTTCTTGAAGTCGTGCGAGCTGATCCTGTTCTTGGCCTCGAACTCGTATTTCATGCGCCTGCCGTAGTTCCAGCTGAGGCTCACCACCACGAAGAAGGACGAGATGGCGAAGGGAACCCATCCTCCCTTGGCCAGCTTCTCCGCAGTGGATGACAGGTAGATCACCTCGACTGCCCCGAAAACGATCAAGAAGAGGATGATCCACAGCACCGATGTTGTCCACACGACGAGCATGACCACGGCTACGAGTGCGGTCGTGATGAGCATCACCCAGATCACGGCAACTCCTGTGAAGAAAACATATTAGAACTCCGAGGAGAATTGAAAGCTTTGTTACCGTATGCGTTTCCAATGCCATCACTGTCCTGGAAGCCGATCACGACTGCCAAGCAAAGTCCCAGCAGCAGATAGTTCACTTCCGGGGAGTAGATCTGACCCTCTTGGCTGGCTGAAGTATGGACCAGCTTGATCCTCGGAAAGCAGCCGAAGGACACCGACTGCTTGAGAACGGAGAATGTCGCTGTGATAAGCGCCTGGCTAGCAACTATCGCTGCCAGAGTCGCGACTACAAAGACAGGCCAGAACACTGGACTGGGAACTGACTTAAAGAAAGCGTCGATGCGATGTTCTGGGTGTTTGATCAGAAAGGCCGTCTCTCCAGCGTATGTGATGATAAGAGAGGGGTATACGACGGCTATGAAGGCTATCTGTCCAAGGAAAGTGTGTATAAGCATGAATTCGATCTCTCATTCTTGCACCTACTTGAATGGCTTTTATGTTGAAGTGGCCCAAGTCGGCAAACATCGCTTCGGCTCCTAGAGAAGTAGGAAGTTACGCTTGGAAACTAAAGACTCACGTAAGCAAACAACGAACCTGTGATACAGAGGACTATTGAATTGAGCATCTCCCATCCATGTCTCTTGTTTCTGACAAAAAAGCGGATGGCATAGTGCGGAGACAAGGCCTTTAGAACCGTCGGGTAGTAATTCATGATGTTGTAGATGCCTATGACAGTCGTAGAAGCGAACCACGTAGCCATGATCGGCGAGAAGATACAACTCACTCTATGCGTGCCAATGCTTTGCAAGAGAAATAGTGCCGAGATAATCACACAGGAGATGGCGATCACCACCGCTGCATGCACTGTTTAGCGACAAAGAAAACAAGAAGACGCTCACATCTATATACTTTGGCTGATTGCGGGGACTTGAGAGCGAAGTCCACCAATAGATGAAAGGACTGCAAAGAAAAAGGAGAGCATCTCAAAGTTTCTGGAAAGAAAACTTGTGTACCTGAGATTGCTGGAGTCAAAACACCATCTCCTATGACCATGCAAGTTCCAAAAGTCACGCAAACGAGCAAAATCTTCTGGGCAATCTCGCTCTTCTCCAGGAACATCTTTGCTCTCGTGTGCACCCTGACACGCTCGGCATCTCCGAAATACGAGAACTCGGTGTCCGACTCCAGCCTTCCATAGTGTTTTCCAGCATGCCGTCCAACGTTTGCGTGGCGGCACAGCAAAGAATAGAGCGCAAAAGTTCCACCTAGAACAAAGCCAGTGTGAAGTTCTTACTCTCTAACATCTCGGAAGAAGTGGAGAGCGTACCTTCGCCATGATCATTGGCATGGAGCACGATGAGCACGTACTTGACAACACCGATGAGCGTGAGCGTCCAAAAGATGACGCTCAAAACCCCCAGGTACTCTCGCTCGTTTCGCGAATCTATCTGCGCTGTGGGATACACGTAGAGCGGAGACGTCCCCAAGTCGCCATAGACCACACCGAGGGTCTGATAAGCCAGCCATAGTGTCTCCCGGCAGCCAAAAATCTGAGCAAGAAAGAGAAGAAACCACGCGAGAAATCGCCTAACAGAAGAAAGAATCACTCTCCTTACCTCTTGATCCTTGTAGAAGGAGTTAATCCGAGAGCTGAAAGACCTAGAAGTCCTGGAGAGAGACCTCCTGATATCCGCCTTGGACGATAGACGCAGCGGCAGCGGGGGCGGCGACGGCTGGCCTGGATCGTCAAGAACTTGCACGCATTCCTCGAAATCCACGGCGCGAGCAGCAGCTCGCGCGCCTTGATCTCGATCGGGCGACGATTGGCAAGGATGGGCATTTCCCTCCATTTCGCGATCGAGATAAAGAATTAGGGTTCTTGGTGGCCCCTTTATTTATTAAAGGAAGGCCCGACAAACGTTTTAGTAAGCGTTGACTCACGAGTTTAAAGTGCTTGTCTGATACCAATGCAAACTCGCTTTTCCATTTGACAAGTATCATACATAGCTTACATTTTTCGTCAACTCCTAGTTGACTAAAACTTCTAAGAATCGTCCATCACGAGGTTACAGAGTTGGCTCGAGTATAGGCTCGAATGGAGGAGCGATCAATCTCTTGATAAATAGTAGATTTTTTAGAGCGCTTACACTCTGTCCAGTATTTCCTCGTCGCTGGATTTTTGCGTTCCGTTTAGAATCGTGTATTTCACTGTGCCAATCTCGATTCCGGACTGGTCTTGCCTGTCTTTCTTCTGAATGTGAGCTTCGTACCTGGAAAAAAAAAACGAAAAACGAAAAAATCGAAGATGGAACCGAGCGAGCACGAGAAAGACTTACTTGAACCAGTTGTAGAGGGCTACTCCCACAACAATAACGAAGAAGCCGATCCCTTTGAGCAATGTAAACTCGTCTTGGAAGCAGATGATCGCGGCCTTGAAAGACAAGATGTGAGCAGTGAATTAGTTTCTAGACGAAATGACGCCGGCTTACCACGACGGTGACGACCTCTTTCACCACGCCTGCGACAGTCATTGTGACAGCACTTGTTTTGATGATTAGGAGATACTCTGCAATCACCTGAATCCAGAGGAGAGTTAGGTTTTAAAAAGGACACAAGAGAGGTACCATAAAGAACGCAAGAGTTCCACCAAGTAGCATCACAATTGTGCTTTCCATGACCCGAGAACGCGAATCAAACCATGAAGTTTCAGCAAGCTCGTGCCAGGGTTCTAGAATGAGTGAGAAGATAGCAGTGATCAGTGCCATTATAGGCGTGAATTGGCTCATTGCCGCTAAAGGATTGCTCAAACCGTATTCTTCTTTCTGCAGTTAAAGAAAAAAAACGAGTTTCAGCAAGTAAAGAACAACAACAAAAGTTGTGCTTCAGACCTGTAGAAGAAGCTGGGTGACGACCCACCGAAATCCAGAACTTAATGCAGCTAACATGACTAATACAAATCCCGCAAAAATAAAGTGTGTTTCTTGCGCAACTGAAAAAAAAAGGGGGTCAAAACAGAAAAACCAAAACGTGGAGCACAAAACTCACCAGTTAATAGTACACCGCAAGAAATAATAAATATGATCCCAAAAAGTTTGAAGCTGGGAGTCTCTAATCTGCCACAAGAAAACATGAGCACAACAACCATGCAACCGGCAACGCTTACTTAAATATGAAAGCAAACAACAGAAGAAACACCGGCGTCGCGGATTTGCACTGGAAAAAGAATGTTAGCATGTTTGTGAAAACAAGAAAAAATAATAATAATAAAAAAAAAATTCCACTCACCATTGTCGCGAACGTAACCGGGATGAAGACTAGGGACGCATTCGTGAGATCCACGTCTAGCGCAGTAGCCACGCCGGTAGGAACCACTGTGAACCAAAAAAAGAAACGAAAAAAAAGAGTAAACTTTAATGGTTTTGGAATACGAGCGAGCTCACATTACCCCTCACGAAGTAGTCCTTCCATGACATGGAGACGGTCGTCGCCATCGAAGGAAAGCAACATCGTAGCAAAAGCGACGATACGATGGCTTGCATAGAGAAGTGTATCGTGTTCATGAGCAGCGGAGCTGGGAACTTGCCATATTTTTTTCCCAGCAGCAACTTATTGTACCTGGAATGAAGATCGCAAACAATGAGAAGAAAGTGGTAGCAAGATCTTCCAAAGAACAAGAAAGAAAAAACTATGCAAAGAACACGAAAAAAAAAAAACCCAAGGAGAGCAAGAAATGGTGGAAACTTAACAGTGTGAGGCAAGTGCTAAACGTATACCACAGTAGCACGTAAAACAGCGTCTGGAGAACAGTTCTTATCAGTGACGCGGCGTCACTGCCATCCCCGGAAGATCGAATTTCGTCCAGGAGCTTCTCAAAGTCGGTCTTCTTGGCAGTGGATTCGCAATCGCTGGCACCATCACTCCCCTCAAATCCATCCACTTTGAGCGCCACAAGATCCGGAGCTCCCGCTTCGTAGTGGCTCGATCTCCTCTGGAAGAGCTCGTGCTGGCTGAAATCGTCTACGCTAGCAAAGGTGAATGCCGCATCCACAGTGGAATCGCAGGAGCTGGATCTATTGGACGACGATTCATCCCTGTGGTCCTCCCCCCTGGCGCCTGCTCCACAGGCGCTCGCGATCCCATTGGAAAAAGAGAGTACCCTGTCCATTCGACAGCCGGCGCCTAGCGGCAGCTCCTCGAAGCCCTGCAGCTTGAGCGATTCGCCCAAAGGATTGTCGATCCCCATCTTCCCCCCGGCCCTTTTCTTGGGCGACCTAACCCTCTGTTTTAAGTGCCAATCTAACCTTTTGAAATGATTGAGATTTAGGGTTCTTGGGAAGAGAGAATGTGGGCGGGATCGAATTGCGATGTCGCGCTGTGCCAGGGCGCAAATTTCTTGAGCTCCAAGACACCCCGCAGCAGCGGCAGCGGTAGCGGCGGCTCTGGTGCGGTCTCCAAGAGCGTGCGCCGGCTGATTCTCTTGCGGCACGCTCACAGCTCTTGGGCCAATCGATCGCTCAAAGGTAGGGTAATCGCTCGCCCTCGTCTCGTCTCTGGCTGAAAATCGAGATGGAATTGGCTCGTTCAAGATCACGAGAGGCCTCTCAGCGGTCGTGGGCGGCAGCAAGCAGCCAGCATCGCGGCCAAGCTCCGGGAACTAGGCTGGCTTCCCGAGCTCGTTCTGTGCAGGTATTTCTCTCTTCTTTTCCTTCTAGGCATTGATTGATCGAAGAGATGATAGAGCGATTATATTGATCAACACATCTAAGGAAAAATTTCTTTTTTCTTATCGCAGTGACTCAACGAGGACTCGAGAGACTCTGGAGATTATCAAGAGACACACTGTTGAGTTGCTCCAGGTCGAGACCCATTTTCTAACGACTTACTATTCAGTTGCAGCCATGGACGGCCACACTGCGCAGCATATAAGAGAAACCATTTGCAAATTCGCCAAGGATGACATAGCCACAGTCCTGTAAGTTCGTCAAACGCTCGTCTTCCAAAGTTTAGTCATCTTGTTTTTCTTTTGGAGAAACTTTCAGGTGTATGGGACATAACAGGGGATGGGAAGAAGCGGCCAGTATCCTCTGTGGCCGACCGCTGGAGCTCAAGACCTCCAATGCGGCACTCCTCGAAGCACACGGTTGTTCGTGGCAAGAGGTTTGTTTTGTCTAAAGTTTTCATTCCTTTCGCTCATTCGAGCAAAGCTCTTGTCCAGACTTTTGCTAGCGCCGGCGCTGGCGGATGGAAGCTCAGAGAGATTTTGCAGCCAGCAGCGGTCGCGGAGTCAAGTAAGCTTGACATAGATTTATTGACGTGAGAGAAAGATCACGGAGAGCGAGAGAGAGATAGACGATTGTAAATTCGTCCCCGACAGGAAAAAATCGAAGACTACCTACTCATTTGAGCTGTTACCATGAAAATCTAAGCGAAGAACTTACAGGTTTTTCTTGACAAAAGAAGAAAGATGAAAACCAAAGAAGCTCCAGAGTTCTTCCACTGAAAAGAAACGAGCACAAGAGATTTTAGCTTGAAGGAAAGCAAGGATTTGCGAACCTTGTTTGATCTGGAGCTGGAGAGCAGCAAAAACGTGGTCACTTCTTCTTTGCTCCCCCACCTTTGCCGGGAGTGGCGCCTTTGCCTTGATTCGATGCCCCGGAGCTCTTGCGCAGGTTTTTGATCTTGCGAGTGCACGCAAACTCGCCAAACTTGTGACCCACCATGTCCTCGGTGATCTTCACTCCCAGAAACGTCTTACCATTGTGGATCTGGACCATGAAGCCCACGAAGTCCGTCAGGATTGTGGACCTCCGCGAGTAAATCTTTGCTCCGTCCACGATGGCCTTGACTGCCTCGTCCACGAACGGACCCTTCCATTTGGACCTCGGTGACATTCTCTCCTCGAACCCTACACAGTGAAGGAGAGAAATTAAACAAAAAAAAAAATCCAAACTTTAGCTCATCAACATACCTTTTAGTCGAGGATTGTTTTTTCACCGGGGAACTTCGAATCTCTTCTTGCTTCTCCGCTTGTCTGGAACGAGAGTTTCTCATCGAATGCCAGGATTTCTTTCATATACAGAAGACTGACCTCGGAGAAGCTGGTTGTTGGCTGCCTCGTCTTTCGAGGGTCTCTTCTTGCTGCAAGCTTTCATGAATAGCTTCACGGTTTTCTCGTTCTTGAAGCCCCTGCGATGGAGATGAATGCGAGTCACTCAAACGAAGCGAAACGATGAAGCTATTACCAGTCTTTCGCTATCTCAGACATGTAGTCCTTTTTCTTCTGCTGCTCCGTCTCAGTAGCATTGCAAGCTGGAGGGTGATCTTGGTGGTTTTCGTGTTGCTGTGGAGGAATAGCAACCTGAAAGAAAAAACGAAAACATAAAGAAATCCATGAGGAACTTTAAATGATTGTTCCACCTGGTCCTCTACGCTGTCCGAGAATGTTGGCGTTGTTTGATGTACTGGAGTAAGTTCTTCCGCGTCGATTGGTGTTGTTCCTGAGCTTTCAAAGTCTAGATCTATCACCATAGCTGCAGGGGCTGCTGCACAAACGGGAGTCTTCGCATTCGCCTCCCAGACCTGTGACTTTTTCTCCTGTTCCTCTTTAGCGGGATACGATACTAAGTTTGCCTCATCCTGAACAGAGGAACAACAAGAATTAAGACTTGATCAGATCCAATGAAAAACATCACCTGATCATAAGTGCGAGTGTCCTCCATGGCAAAGAGAATGCAGTCGATGCATTCGTAATCGATGTCGTCGTCGTCAACGTACTTGATCTTTGCAAGAGCTTTGTTGAACCGGATCCTGACGTCGTAGCCCCTCCACAGCGCCTGTACCTTTGTCGCGGACTCACGCTGTACACTCTTCAAGGTTCTAAGTCCCGGCAAAAGTTGAAGACGTCGAACTCTCGAGCCTCTCCACAGTGCTTGTAGCCGGCATACTGATTCATGTTTTTTGTTCTCCCGGAGCTGACGATACTGCTTTCTGCAGATATGGCCTCTCACAAGCGCTTGGATCTTTCCAGCCTTCACCCAAGGAAAAAACACACTTCGTCAGCTGACAGTAAAAAGCAAAGAGAGAATAAGCAATCACAAAAGCAAAACAAAGAAACAACTGAGCTCAGACGTGTCTACAACCGCTGGCGACTTGATCGAATTCAAATCGCGAGGAACGAACTCCTTTATCGGATAGAAGTCAATACCTGTAGTTTGAAGTTGTCTATCCAGATATTACGGCCAGTGACAAGAGAACAGCTCTCCGCTTCTTCCTCCCATTCGTCTTCAGAGTACAAGTCTGTTTCTTCAGGGTCAAGGAGCTGTTCTTCCCAAGATTCCACTTCATCTTCCTCCCATCCTTGTTCGGAGTAAGTCTCAACCTCTTCTGCGTGGTTTACGTGAGTGCCAAGACTTAAAGTTTCTCCTTCTCGATGCTCGACAATAGATGAAGTTATCGCAGTCCGTCCAGTGTCTGCCTCTTGATGCTCGGCTGCGCTATTGCTAGAGCTGTCCAGTGAAATTTCTTGATTTTTGGCTGCATGCGTTAAAGATGATGTTCCAGCTCCATCTTGTGATTGTGAGTCTTCAAGCAACTTGTCTCGAGTTTCTGCTTCTTGATACTCGGCTGCCTGCGTACAAGATGATCTTTCAGCGGCCTCATGCAACCTTTGAGTTCCATTTCCTTGACCACCGCACGGTGTGTCACCTTCATCTTGAGAACTACCATCAATCTCGGAGCCAACTATATCCTTGTGACTCGGGACAAGTAGAAGCTTCTCTTCAGAACTAGCTTCCTCGTCGACCTGTTCTAAGCAGCAACTCTTTTTCGTCTCAAACGTCTCCCAGCTTTTTTTCACTTGATCGAGTTGGACTTCCTCATTTAGCTTGAGCGAGCCTTCGATCATTTTCGAGTTGCCACCCAGGTTTTCAAGCACACGGCCCCGAAGATCTAGCTTGAAAGCTGCCACTACTTTGCCGTTTATAATGATCGACGTTGCTCCCTGGTTTTCCAGCACGCTTTGTCGAGCATGATGAACCAAGGCTAGCTGCGCTCCAACCTGTTTTGCTTCCTTCCCCAAGCCTTTCCATTTGTGAGCAAGTGGGACGCTGCTTCCAGCCATACTGACGGAAAGCTTAAGAACCTTTCCTATAAGCCGAGAAACTCTCTTCTGCACGATAGCAGCTCTCTGTTCCTTGGTTGCAAGATTCTCGCAGCTCGGGCCAAGCTTTTGTGATAGAAGTTTGCCAACGTCGTAACCGCTGTTTACTTCACATACTAAAACCCGATGCATGTTTTCCACTACTTTCTGTAAGCCGGCAGGAAACTGAGAGACCACCGAGCCAATCCCGAACCTTTCTATGTTTCTTATGCAATCCTGGAAGATGCTGCATAAGTCGTCTCGAGAAGCCCGTGAAAAATAGTCGTCTATGCTTTCAGGCAAGCAAGCAAGCGCAAGATCCTCAGAGATTGTCGGTTCAACTTTTAGTGTTTTCACCTCCTCCCTGGTAAGTTCCATCTTTCTGGATTCCTTAAGCATTTTTTCTTCCCCAAGAGCTGTAGCCTTGCTTTCATCTACCTTTAATGTCTCTTCAGTCTCACAACTGATCATCGCTTCTTGAACGGCTTTCGGAAAACCTTGATAGCCATGTAAAAACTTTCGCCAGACTCTTCCATTCTGCAGGGTGGAGACTAGCGTCAAGAGTTTGTAAACTGAAAAACATACCGGATGGGTAGTATGAACAAGATCGAGTAGATTCTTGTGTTCGGCTTCAGAAAGTTCCTCAATCAACCTGGGACGGTCAATGCATGAGAACCTCGATTGTTAAAAACAGCATCTCACTTCAACGCCATTTCTCCTTCTTTTCCAATCTCTTCCAGCTTTTTTCGCTGCTCAATCTCCATTTCTTTCTGAGAGACAAACAAAAACGTAGTAAGGTCTGTAAGAACGGAGGGAGATTCTTTCTACCTGGAATGTTATTTTGTGTTCTTCGATGAAAGCCAGCTCCCTGGTCACATCTTCATTCTTTTGCTGCCTGCAAGCTTCCTTTTCAATGCGCCTTTCGAGGTCGTTGATCTTGAATTCTTGCACCAAACTTCTACGTTGCTGTGCTAGAGAAAATACGGGATCGTCGAGAAGCATTTCATCCGTAAAATCCTTCCCCTCATTCTCGGAAAACTTTACAGAAGAATACTTCGTCCGTCTTTCGCATGTGTCAAGCAAAGCTTTCGCTCTTTCCAAGACACGGCTGCCGTCATCCCCCTTGGAGCACGCATAGTTTCCTATGTCGAATAAATTCACATTCGACTCTTCGTGAAGTGACTCTTCAAGGTCCTTGAACTTTTTATCTCTGGCTTCCAGCCCTTTAAGAACCTGCTCAAACGGATCCTTGTTGGGTTGAGCATCAGAAAACTCAAGCCTCGTACCTGCATAGAAACACTGTTAAGAAAATCAGTGCAAAAAGCTTCGATACTCGCATAGAAACTCATCTAAAGTTTTCCACACATCTAAAAAAATTTACCAAAGAACGCTCGTCATTCAAGAAGAGAAAAGGAAACAAAGAGCGTTCTACAATGTTCCATTCACGGACACATAAAACGAAACTTTCATCTCAAAATGGCCAGGAAAGCGCTCGTAGCTCGAGAAAAACTCACTAAACTGCGCGTGATCTTGAATGAAACAAGGAGAGCAATCGAAAAAACACCCGCATTCTACACTAGATTCTTATTTGCTTTGTTGAGCATTCCCTTCACGGACACACAAAACGAAAATTTCATCCCAGAATGACCAGGAAAGCTTTCTTAGCTCCAGAAAACTCACTAAACTTTCACATACGACACAGCTCAAGGAGAGGATCGAAACAAAGCGATCAACCAGGAGAAAGAACCCGCATTCTACACTAGAATCTTACTTGCTTCGTTGATCATTTCAAGCATAGCTAAATCCCTGTCCCATTCGTCGTCATCGTCTTCCTCCTCCATAGCTCCTGCCCTAAAAGCTTTGAAAAAGTGTCTACGTGGCGGTTACATTCAAACGAGCTCTAGTGATTTAGGGTTCTTCTTCCTCTAGTGCCAGAGCAATGAAGGAGCGTCGAGTGACAAATCGAGGCGCTCCGGCAGCTCCAGCTGCTGCTGCTGCTGCTGCTGCGTCCCGGCGGAGAAAGAAGCCGGCATTTGATCCATCCGGCGGCTTCTTCTCTGGCGTCCGCATTGGAGCTGTCGCAGCATTCGCGATTTTTGTTCTCACTGCGATCACTCTCGTCGTTCTTCTCTCTGCTCTCTATCCTCGCGAAACTCCGAGATCCATCACGCCGGTGGCGCTTCCAAAGATCATGGATTTGCCTCAGGTAGGCGTGAATTTCCACAGGTTTTTGCCTCAAATGTTTAGTTTCAATGAAGTTTCAAGGCGAGCACAAGGAGCGACTCTACTGGGGAACCTATAGACCGCATTTATATCTTGGAATTCGATCCAGGTAGAAAGTCCCAGCTCTAAGTTTGAGTGCTCTTCACGAGTAACTTATAACATACTAGAACACCAAAATCATTGTTAGCTGGACTCATGTGGCTTGGTATCAAGGATGGATACTACGCTCTTCGTCACACCTGTGAAGACTCTGATGGACTTAAACGTTATGGTTGGGTTCGACACGATGGGATCTCTTATGGTCGCCAGGTATGCTGATAGTTATTGAGGCTTCTCTTGTTCTAACTATCTATTCAGGTGATTCTAGATCAAAATATGAATATCACCACTTTTTTCTCTAAGAGTTGGAATGACGGAAGTGGCTATGGAGGTGATTGGTCTGTCCGCGTGAATCTTCATGACAGCAGGTTTTGGTTTTTTCTAAAGAAAACCAGTTCTCATGCAGAGACTCGTTGTTCTGCAGTGAAATAAGTCGACTTCCGAATGGAGAGTCGTCTCTTTACTTTTACATTGCGGAGGAGGAAGGCAGCCAAATAAGAATATCGAGAAATGACGCATCTGGACTAGCTGCTTCGGGGCACAGACATGATATTGGACACTGGCAGATTCACATCAGTGCCGAGGTGGTCTTTTCTTTTCGTTTATATCATTCGTCTTTATGCTCTTCGCGCAGAACAATACTTTTTTTCATTACGCTGGGTTCCGGACGGGAAACATGCACAATATAACACAGCTTGTCCAAAATTCATTAATCGTTCAGGTTTTTCGTCATTTTTTCTTTTTTCTTTTCCTCAAACACTCGCGCAGGAGCGTAAATTGCAACTACCTGATACTTATGAAAAATCTTCAAATATAGTAGTTTTTCAGGTACGTAGTGTATGCATCCTCTATAAGTTCTCTGATTCCTCTATGATACTTTCAAGGTTTTAGGCCGCAACCATCTTCAGCTAGATGTGACTTTTCTAGCTGGTGTCGACGAGAAAAAGTTCTCGGTACAGTCTCGTCTTGAGCGTTTATCTGGTGGGCAAACACTTTAATTTCTTCTCGCTACCTGTTCTTATACTGAATTTTAAAGGGATTCGATTGGATGAAACGTTAAAAGTGCAAGAGCAAAGTTTTGATAAGCGTTTTGAGAACGCGTACAAGCTTGATAACAAAGAGGTACTGGTAGTGATAAGAGCTGAATACACAATCTTATGCTTCCTTTACATAGCTTTCTAGCTTTGGTGCTACCAACGCAGTGGAAATTGGCAAGGCTGCCCTCAGTAATCTTTTGGGAGGAATCAGCTACTTCTATGGCCAGTCGCTTATTTCCATACCTTCAAAAGAGCAGGTACACGCTTCTTTCTCCATGTTTTATTATCTAATACATCACATTTCAGAAACACCACCGAGAAAGTTTTTGGAAGTACTGGCCAGCTGCATTGTATAGCGCTGTTCCATGCCGCTCTTTCTTCCCTCGAGGTTTTTTGTGGGATGAAGGCTTTCATCAAATAATAATAAGGTACATTGATACAGCCCATGCAAGAAATAATCTTTTTTCTGAAAGCAGTAGATGGGACCGGAACCTGACATACGATATCGTTGGGCACTGGTTAGACTTACTTAACGTCGACGGCTGGATTCCAAGGGAGCAGATTCTAGGAGAAGAAGCCCGAGTGTACTCCCTGTTTTGAGACGTTTCAAAATGCTAACTCTTTACCTTGCAGAAGGGTTCCCGATGAGTATATTTTGCAGCACACGGATAACGCGAACCCTCCAACGTTGTTTCTACCCTTGCATGGTCTGAAAACTTGTTATCTCTATTGTGACTTCTTTCTCTGCCCTGCTGCAGATATTGCGTTAGCATCACTAGAAAGTGGAAAAGAAAATAACGCTGAGAGGGCCTTCTTGGAAAAAACCTTCCCAAGGCTACAAGCTTGGTTTGGGTGGTTCAATAGAACGCAAGCAGGTCTGTGTATTGTAATTTTCATTTAAGCTGAAGCTTTTTGTTGCCAACAGGTACATTTCCTGGGACTTACTATTGGCATGGAAGAAGTATTACCGATAAGGAATTAAATGCCAAGGTAGGCACGTTTCATTCTGTGATTAACGCTCTAGACACCGGCTTCGTTAGAGTTTGTCGTCTGGTTTGGATGACTATCCACGAGCTTCACATCCAAGTGCTGATGAGCGACACGTTGATTTACGTTGCTGGATGGCCTTGGCAGCGAAATCTATGGTTATGATTGCCAAAATCATCGGGGCACCACATGAAGTAAGGAAAAACTGGCACAGATGGCTCGCAGTAACGATTTACTTTTTCAGGAATACGAGGCTATGTCACAGGTTTTGTCAGACTTTGATGTTCTTAACCAGGTAAGTGTCGATCCGTCCTCATGACCGAACTCACTCTATTGTTCTTAGCTCCACTACGATCGCAAGAGAGGACGTTACTACGATTACGGCAATCATACTGAAAAAGTATCACGATAACATCTCGATGATTTCAGCTCATTCTGTCCTCGACACAGGTGAAGCTGGAATGGGACAACTTCTTCGACCCAAGAACCGGACAAGTACAGCAAGTTCTCCGCAGAGTCGTATCTGGACGTCCAAAGTTGCAGCTGGTTCCACAATTTGGCTACGTGAGCCTCTTCCCCTTCATAGTGAAACTTATTCCCGCGGTAAGCTCTTCGTCCATACTGCGTCATACAAGTACTAACGATTGGTTCTCAAAAGGACTCGCAAATCTTGGAAGCACACCTCAACCTCATCCAGAGCGAAAAGCTCCTCTGGACGAGCTACGGGTTGCGCTCGTTAGCAACAACAAGGTAGCGATTTCTACGTTTTTGTTGGAACATTTCATCGACTCTTTCTTCGTTTCCAGCTCTATTTATAACAGACGTAACACCGAGCATGACGCTCCTTACTGGAGAGGCCCTGTATGGATCAACATGAACTATCTCGTCCTTTCATCCCTTCACTACTACTCGCAAGGTAACGCGTGTGACTTTTGGCTGCAAGCGTTTATTCCATCCACTGTGTGTGTTTCTAGAGCCAGGCCCATACAAAGACGCTGCTGCCTCTGTCTACAAACAGCTTCGTGCCAATCTGATAAGGTCGGCATCAAAAACAAAATGTGTTGGTTGAATGATTGATTGCTGTTGTTTGGGCACAGCAACGTTGCACGGCGCTACAACGAAGTGGGATACATCTTTGAGCAGTATGATCATACAAAAGAAGGCGAAGGTAAAGGAGCCAGGCCGTTTACCGGTTGGAGCTCCTTGATACTACTGATCATGGCAGAGCAGTACCAACGCTAGAACGAGGCGTCCACACTGCTCTCACAAGTTAGTATGTGGTAAAAACGTTGGATACTAACCTACTTTAATCGGTCAATCCTCAAGTGTTTACCAGAGGAATTCTTCCCAGACAAGGCATCAAGCGAATCCAGCGGAGATTTGCCGGTCACAGTTCAGTATAATGTAGTACGTAACAGCTGCCTGCATTGTCAAAGAACAGAGGATTGAGATATATCGAGTAAAAGCCCCAAGAAAACTAACTTCACTCGATTCATTGTTGAGCAGATCCATTATAAGCAGTTGCCGCTCAAATCCAAGCTGTGTAACTCTTGCTAAAACATCCATATCAATCTGTGAGAAGAAGAAAGGAAAACTTTCTTTCTCGAGAACCAGCATTCGGAAGCACAGTACCGTGGAGTAGTATGATCGCATCGATAAGTGAGGTGGGATGTTGATTCTAAACCATGCGTGCTCCTTAATCTCTGCAACAGTGATCCGTGCGCGGGGATCCACAGTGAGCATCCTCGAAATCAAGTCGCGGGGTCCATCTGGAACAAAGAGAGGAAAGTTGAAGGTACCAGACTGACATCCATCCGCCAACCAATGAAACAAGTTATAAGTCGACCGCAAAGCAAGAAACTAAAGAGAGTGTTTGTTTACCAGGATTTTGGAGTACAGTGTCGTGGTGTTTGCGTCGTCGAAAGGGTAGCATCCACCGAGAAGGACGTAAAGGACTACTCCACAGCTCCACACGTCCACTTCTGGCCCGACGTAAGGACGCCTTAGAAGAAGCTAAAGCAAACAAAGAAGAACAAGATCAAACAGGAGAAGTGAAGGGACTACATTTTTTCCAGACCTCTGGAGCGGCATAATGCGTGCTTCCACAGCTCGTTCGCAAGAATCCCCCCTCTTGCATGGTGTTGCAAAGCCCAAAGTCGCCGATCTTGATGTGCCGCTGTGAATCTAGGAAGAGGTTCTCGACTTTGATATCCCGGTGGATCGCGGACTTGCTGTGGCAGTACTCGACACCTGTAATGAGCTGCAGCGTTTTTCGATCGATCGACAGAGAGAAAAATAGACAAGAAGTGAAAAACAAGGGGAAAGGAATGGAAGGATAAAAAGGAAAAAAAAAAAATCTGACTAGCAGTGAACTGACCTGCTGGAAGAACCATCGGGCCTCGGCCTCTTCCAGCCGCTGATTCCTTTGCACCAAGAGATATTCGTAGAGATCGCCCCTCTCGGCGTACTCCATGACGATCAACACGTCCCTGGGCGTCTCGAAAACCTCGTAGAGGCGCACAATGTGGGGGTGCCGCAGCAGCGCCATCGTCCTCACCTCCCTCGCCACTGCCAGCGGCAAAATCCACGAGATCGGCTCAGGGGAAAGCGAGAAAGATCGATCGATCGGCCAATCCAGGCGCTCTTACCCTTCTCCCTCATCCCTCCCTCGATGATATTCCGCCGGCTCATCACCTTGATCGCGACCCTGCGCGCGCTGCGCCGATGCTCGCCAAGAATCACCGTGGAGAAGGATCCAGTGCCGATCCTTCTCTCGGTCCTGTAGCGCAGCTCCAAATCCGCCCTGGCGGCGAAGTTCCTCGCGACAATCGGCCGGTCCATCCCGGAACTAAAACCCCCCAAGTTAAAATCAAATTAAACCTCATCTTCGCGGTCCCAGCCGTTGGATCCTACCGACGGCCGCGATCGCTTCTAGGGGTTTTCCATTTTGCGAGGGAGATCCCATTTGTTACATCGACGTGGCCCAAAGGTCACGGCCAGGGTTCCTATTATTTCTCCCTCTCATTCCCAGCGCCGGGGGATCCAAGAACAGCGCTAGGGCTAGCAGTAGATCGATCGCGCCACGGCTCCTGGAAGAAATCGCGGCCTAGAATCACAGCAGCAGCACGGTGAGTTCTTCTCCTTCTTCCTCCTCCCCCTCTTCCGGGATTTCTTGGAGAATCACAGTAGATTTTCAAGGCCAGGGCCTCCCCAGCAAGGGCGCCCGGGACGAGCCGCCACAATGCGGGTCTGTCTCGTAGAGCAAATGGCTAACAGTCAGGAAAGGAGTTGTGTAGCCAATCTGGAGAGTCCTAAGGGAAGAAGCAGCGACCGTGTGGGTCGTGCCAAGAAGCCGCCCTGGGATCGTGATGTTCACGCTCCTCGTCTCTTCTCAGACATTGAGAACTATAAAGGGAAGCCATCTTCGCCATCGCCAGTGAGGCGCCTGGAAAGATTGGTGCGTCGGGTCTCTTACTGCCCCAAATACCCCCAGCCAGATACACCACACTTACACACTTATGTGGTCATTCGGCACTTCGCTGATTCCTAAGTAAGCTGGATTTTTCTTCACTTTCTTCTTCTTCTTCGTCTTCTTCCGTTTTGTTCTTCTTGTTCATTGCAACTGTTTGGTCTTTTTACAAGCTTTGTTTGTTTCCTTGTTTTGTTTTTCCTTTTATCATCTTCTTGTTTCTAATAGACTGTCGTTTCCAGGATTAAACCATGACGAGCACTTGTGTAGATGTAAAGGAGCTTCCTAATTCTTACATCTTTGTGGCCGACGTCCCCGGCCTGAAGAACACGGACGTGAAGGTACGAGCGCTCTCATCCAAGTCATGCATAAAGTTTTAACACAAAACTCTCGCTCAATCACCCAACAAACAGAGGATGAGCGTGGGTGCTACTTGCAGGTACAAGTTGAGAACGATAGTATTCTAAAGATCAGTGGAGAACGGAAACGAGATGACAATCCCAACCATGACATAAAATATGTTAGAGTTGAACGCTCGTCCGGCAAATTCATGCGAAAGTTTAACCTTCCGGCCAACGCCAATCTGGAAACCATCTCGGCTACTTGTCTCGACGGCCTTCTCACTGTTGTTGTGCCAAAGATCCCAGCGCCAGAGAGCCACAGGCCAAAGACTTTTGATATTGCAGTTGCCAACATCAACTTCGTCTACAAGTGATGAGCTCGCAATCGTTCTTGTTACTTGGCGGTGGTCGTGGAGGCAGAAGTTCTCTGGTCTTTTCATTTGCTTTTTTCTTTCCTCGGTGGATAGCTACTTGAGTAAGACTTTTAATTTGGCTTTGCATTGTGAGACTGACTTCTCTGTTTTAAACAAGGGAGAATTTGATCCATGGAACTTAAAACCAAAAGAATCAACGAGCGTCCTGTTTTGGATGTTCCGGGATGTTTCATCAGAGAACGAATAAGAACCTCAGAGGTTGTCAACAAATTGAGTGGAAAAGTCGAGCTTTATCGATGTAGCGCATGGTAGTGGTGGCGGTGGTGGTGGTCGCGCTGATCGATAGCTAAACCATGGTGGCCATGTTTTGGTGGGGGGGACTAGCGGTAACTTTCTTCGGTAAAGCATATAAAAAGGGAGGCAGGAAGGGGGAAAGGTCTTCTCTGTGGGTCATTAAACACGTGTGAGGTACGTGTTGAGGACTGCAGCGATGTTACTGTTAGCGACCTTTCCGTGGCACATCTCTTCTTTCAGGTAGCAACATAGGGACCGAAGTTTGCTGCCGATCCAAGTTCGTCGACTACTGTGTGATCTCTCACATCTGGTGAGTGCTTCCTTTGCTTCGAAAGATCGTGGTGGGGCTTTGGGTTTCCAGGAATGGCACAGATTTTGCTCCATGGAACACTTCACATCACGGTCTATGAGGCCGCATCATTGGTGAACGAGAATCGGGTCTCTGGAGCCTCTCCCAAGTTCATGAGAAAAGTAAGTCCTAGGCAGGAAGTTTTGTAGCTTGTTAGAAGAACTTTACTCTTGGTACTCGATTCTTACTGCATTTCTAGTTGTAGTGGAAGTTTCTCAAGTTTGCTCACTCTATTTGTATTTTCTTTTTTTTCTAGATGGTCGAAGGAGTGGAGGACTCCATTGGTATTGGTAAAGGCGTGAGCTCTCTCTATGCAACTATCGACCTCGAGCGGCAGCGAGTGGGACGCACTCGCCTCATCCGCAAGGAGCCTACTAAGCCTGTGTGGAACGAGTCCTTTCACATCCAGTGCGCGCACAACATTGCCAACGTCGTTGTGAGCGTCAAAGATGACTTGGCCGTCAGCGCCTTCCTCCTCGGCCGAGCGAAAGTCCCCGTGAAGCGTATCATGTATGGTGAGCTTGTTGAAGGCTGGTTCGAGCTCTACAACGACAGCGGCAAAAAACTCGGCAACTCTCGAGTCCGCCTCCGTCTCCAGTTCTTCGACATTACCAGAGATCCTCGCTGGGGACGCGGCCTCGTCGATGGAACGAAGTTCCCTGGTGTTCCATTCACGTACTTCCCGCAACGCAAAGGCTGCAAGGTCACGCTCTACCAGGACGCTCATATGACTGACAACTTTCTTCCGAAGATCTATCTCCAGGGCAACGCTGTCCGGGAGCCGACTCGCTGCTGGGAGGACATGTACGAGGCCATCGCAAATGCTCAGCACTTTATCTACATCACCGGCTGGTCGGTCTACGCGGAGATAGCGCTTATCCGAGACTCAGCCAGGCCCGTCCACGGCGGTCTCAACGTTAAGCTCGGGGACCTCCTCAAGAAGAAGGCTGACCAAGGCGTAAGAGTTTTGATGCTCGTCTGGGACGACCGGACGTCCATGTCGGTGGTGAAGATGGAGGGACTTATGGCGACTCACGACCAGGAAACTCTGAACTTCTTCTACGGTTCCAAAGTCAAGTGCCTGCTCTGCCCGAGAACTCCCGACAGCGGCCTGAGCTACGTCAAAGGTTTCCAGATCGGGACTATGTTCACTCACCACCAGAAGACGATCATCGTCGACGCCCCGGGAAGAAGCCACCAGCAGCGGCGAGTCGTGAGCTTCGTTGGTGGACTGGATCTCTGCGACGGCCGCTACGACACGCAGTTTCACTCCTTGTTCCGGACACTCGGGACTGTTCACAAGGAGGACTTCCACCAGCCAAACTACGCGGGAGCTACCATCGACAAAGGTGGCCCGCGCGAGCCATGGCACGACATCCACTCCAAGCTCGAGGGGCCCGTGGCTTGGGACGTTCTCCGCAACTTTGAACAGCGGTGGCACAAGCAGGGTGACGGCAACCAGCACCTCGTCTCGCTCGGGAACCTGGAGCCGCAATCATCTCTAGTCGAGGACGAGCACGACGAGAACACCTGGAACGTCCAGCTCTTCCGCTCCATCGACGGGGGAGCAGCGGCAGACTTTCCAGAGAGTCCGGAAGCAGCAGCAGCAGCGGGGCTCGTCAGTGGAAAAGACTCGACGATCGACCGCAGCATCCAGGACGCCTACATCCACGCCATCCGGCGAGCGAAGGACTACATCTACATCGAGAACCAGTACTTCCTCGGCAGCTCGTTTGCCTGGGAGTCGGACCACGACGCGGAGGCTCATCACGTAATTCCTCGCGAGCTGGCGCTCAAGATCGTGAGCAAGATCGAGGCTGGCGAGCGCTTCTCCGTCTACGTCGTGCTTCCGATGTGGCCCGAGGGAGTCCCCGAGAGCGGCCAGGTGCTGGCCATCCTCGACTGGCAGAAGAAGACGATGCAGATGATGTACAAGGCCATAGCTCAAGCTCTCGACGCACAGGGGATCCGCGGCGTGTCCCCCCGCGACTACCTGGCCTTCTACTGCCTCGGCAACCGGGAACGCCGCCTCGGTGGAGAGTTTCTACCGCCGAGCACTCCCGACGCGAACTCGGCTGGCTACCGGAGCGCTCAGGAGAATCGCCGGTTTATGATCTACGTCCACTCCAAGATGATGATAGGTACTCTCTCTCTCTCATTCTTTGCTTTGATCGCATGGTTTTACTTCCTTTCCTCGATGCTTTTCTTCTTCCGGTTTGAGTTACTCTCACTGGCATTTCTTCCTTTCTTTTCTTCTTCCAGTTTTAGTTTACTCTCACCTACATTCTTTCCTTTGATCGCTCTTCCTCACTCTTTTGATCTCATGGTTTCCTTTCCTCGACGCTTTTCTTTACTTTACTCTCATTCACATTCTTTCCTTCGATCGCTTGGTTTGATTCCTTTCCTCTATGCTTTTCTCCTATCATACTGGTTTCGTGATATCTCACTGGAAAAAACTCGTTTTTTTCTCCTTGTAGTGGACGACGAGTACATAATCGTTGGATCCGCTAACATCAACCAGCGATCAATGGACGGGGGGCGCGACACGGAGATCGCCATGGGCGCGTACCAGCCGCTCCGTACGTGGCCCACGCGCGGCCAGATCCACGGCTTTCGTATGTCCCTGTGGTACGAACACATGGGCCAGCTGGACGACCTCTTCCTCCGCCCTTCCAGCCTGGAATGCATGCGCAAGGTCAATCGGACGGCCGACCAGCTCTGGCACATGTACGCCGCCGATGAGGTGGTGGATCTGCCCGGCCATCTCCTCGCCTATCCCGTCGGAATCGCCAGCGACGGTTCCGTGGCGGAATTGCCAGGGTGTGCCAAGTTCCTCGACACCGACGCTAAGATCCTGGGCGTGAAGTCCGACGTTCTGCCGCCAATCCTTACCACTTGACGCAAACCATCATTCGCAATAATGCTTGTATCATATCAAACCTTTGTTCCAACTTTATAAGAATTTGAGCCGTGGTCAGTAAAATAAGACTATTACAAATTTGACAGTGAAATTTTTTCTTTCTACACAATCACGATCACGACTCGGCCATCACCTCGTCTCGTTGAGCCTTCTCGCTACTCTCCTGGCTTTTCTTCTCGCCATCAATCTCTCCCTCGGGCTTTGCTGCTGCTACGTCCGGCTTTGCTGCTGCCGGTGGCTCCTCCTCCTCTACTTCTTTCGCTGCCTCGGCTCCATCTTCCTTCTTCTCCTCCGCAGCTGGCTCCGCCGCGTCCACCATCTCGGTGTCTCCATCGCTCTTCTTGGTCCCCGCCTTGGCTTGGGACTTCTCCTCCTCGGCCTTGGCAGCCACTTTCTCTTTCTCGTCGGGCTTTGCCTTGTCCTTGTCGACCTCGTCGTCGGTGTCGGGGAGCTTTCTCAACTCCTCCCGTATCAGAGCCTTCGCCCGGGATTTCATGGTTCCGTCCGTGCAGTCGATGTTTAACCTTTCGCCTGTGACGTTAAACGGTGTCAGCATCTCTCTTTCAAAACCGTATGAAGCTAAACTAGATCGCTTACCAAGTTTCTTGATGATAACAGTGAAAGAAGCCTGCAGATCGCAAACAAGAGAGAATGAACTGAGACGAGCCTTCTTAATAACCAGCACAGCCATACCTTCTTGAGGTCGAGAGTTTGGAGTAGCTCCTTGACATGAGTCCGAATCTCCTCGTCCTTCGAATGGTTGGACTGAGCTTCATCGCCTCCCTCTGGAACCATCAATACAAATGGTTAGAAATGCAGCCAAGAAATACGCCCAGCGAACCTTTGTCGATCGATTTCTCTTTGCCCTTCGTGGACTTCTTCGCTGACTTGGCCGGAGTCTTTTCCTTCTTCTTGGTTTTCTCCTTCTCGGTCTCCTTTTTCTTCCTGGTAAAAACTTTCGTATCCGTCTTCTGCTTCTTAGGTGGCGGCCTTTCGCCAGAGTCAGCTTCTGTATCGTCAGCGGACTCGCTCGCATCTCCTTCTTCATCTGACGTTTTCTTTTGCTCGATCTCGTCGTCGTCATCAGATTCCTCCTCGTCGTCCTCTTCCACCACCTGCTTTCTTTTTCTGCCGCTGCGTTTTGGTGGCTCGTCTGAGTCCTGCTTCTGCACATGATCATAAAGTGAGATTTATGCAAGTTGCCAGCACAAATACTACCTTAGGCCTTCCCGGGCTTTTCCCCTTGCGTTTCTTTTCAGCCTGGAAAAAATAATACAGTAAAATGCATCTGTGGCAAAGCTACTAATACCTGCTCTTTTTCTGTGTCTTCCAATTTTATATCTGTTGTCGCGTGTGGAGCTGCTAGGAACTCGAAGACCTTCGCAACCAAGTCCTCCTACATTTGAAAGGTCATTAGTATCAGAAGCACAAGCTCGCTGCTATCAACAAACCTTTTTCCCCTTCATATTTAAATCCAAGATATCTATAAGCTCGTTTAGCTCGTCCTTATGGCACTTTTCAAGCCGCTCCCTCGCTTTAATCTGGTCCTTTTCCTGATTTATTTTGGCAGCAGCCAGTCAAAACCATCACGAGCACACTAAAATAATACCTTCTCTCCCCAACAATGGCCCGAAAACTGGAGAAGATTTTGCTTGACAGTAGCCGCCTGCGAGCAAAGACATCAGAAAAGAACAAACAATAAATGATGCGGTTACCTTAGACCGCTGAGCGAAGAAGACGTAGTGGAGAGTCTTCAATACAGGATCGTTCTTGTTAATTTTACTTAGTTTGTAAGCCACTGCATCACCGAAAAGCAAACTAGCGAGTAAGCACCAGGCGACAGCGAAAGGAATAACGCAGATATACCATTCGGGATTTCTTTCAGAGGAGTGCCGCCTCCCTGCCAACGTGCTTCCGACTTAGTCACGCAGCCGAAAGAAACACAAGCGATAAAGAAGATGTACCTTTCTGATATAAACGTCCTTCGACTTTGGCATATCCAGAGATCCTGCTCCAAACCTCTCAATCGATTTCTTCTCCCGTGAAGGCCTGTCAATCGGAGGCGAGAACTCGGCTTTCTTCCTGCCCCGCTTCGACTTGGGTGTTTCCTCGGACCCCTCACCTTTCTCAGGCTTCTCGGTCGGAGTCGAGGGTGTGGCCACTTCCTTTTCCTTGGCCTTGCTGCTATCTTTCCTGGGCCGTCCCCTCTTCTTTGGTTGCGGCTTGGACGCCTCAGCCTCGCCGTTCTCGGCATCCTCTTCGGCCTTTTCATCCTTCTCCTCAACACCTTCCATGGCCGTGGCATCACCACTCTCACCCTCTTTCTCCTTCTCTTTCTCCTTCTCATCTTCCTTCTCGTCGCTCTCGGCTTTCTTGTCCTCCTCCTCCTCGGCGGCCTTGGCCTTACTATCACCGTCCGCTCCTTCCTTCTCTTGGCCCGACTTACCTGGAGCTTCTTCCGGTGGCGCCGGAGCGGCTTCTTGGGTCTGGACGCCCTGGATAGACTCCTCGCCCTTCACCTCCTCCTCGCTCTTCTTCTCCGTCAAATCTTTCGCTTCCTTGGCGGGCGCTAGATTCTCTTCGGCCGCCGCCGCCGCCGCCACGGGCGCAGCGTCGCCTTCCTCCGTCGCCATTCCTATCAACACTAGCCCAACGGATTTCTTTCGAGCCCTAAAACAAAGAAGAAGAAGAAGAAGAACCCTAACCTCGAGAAACAAGGGCCACTACTACTTTTTTAGACGCGCATTTCCTTGTCCTCCTGCCACTGGGAGAAATCCAAGAACCCTAGCCCCGAACGAGAAAGAAGCGAGCTTTAGAGACGCCCTAGCCACTGGAGACGATGCGGACTCCAAAGCTTTTGTTGGATCACGTTGAATGCGCCTTCCGGATCCCAGGCACTTATCCAATCCGACCCAAGGAATATATTCCCGCAAATTAAAAAAAGATGCCAACGGTGAGAAAACAAAATGGAAATTTAGGGCTCTTCCTCTTCCGCGCTAGACTGAAATTCACAAGAAAGCTCTGATCTATCGCATCCTCGCTGGGAGCTGGGCGCGCTACCCTAACACACTGATCCAGGGATGATCTAATAAGCGTAGAACTCGACGAGCTCTTCCACCGCGCCAATTGAATTGCCATTGCCGCTGTCTAGCATCCACAGCAGGTGCTCAAACATGACGATCTCGCAGGGGACGAACAGCCCACAATCTCCGGCGTCTTGCTGCTCGGCGCTGGTGGAATTGGGCTTGGATTTGTCGAGCAGGGATCGAAAGAGGGGCATCTGGAGGTAGTGCTCGCCAAGAACATACCGCCGGCGCTCCTTGCCCACGTACACTACGAACGTCCCCTCGTATGGGAGCTTGTGGCTGATCATCTGGTGGTCATGGGCTTGCTCATCGTCCAGGCTCGCGATGGATTTCTTGTTGCGCGCGAATCGTTGCCAGGTGCTCACGATCCTCCTGATCTTGTTGTGCTTGTGTATGGCCGACGAAGACGACGACGAAGAAGAGGAGCTGACAAGAGTGGACATAACTTCTACAAAGAAGAAAGAAACAAACCAATGTGGTGGTGATCCAGCTCTGGCAATCACGAAGAATCCCTCGAATCTCTGGGCCGATTCAATCCAGAAAGCTTGAATCGTGGTCAAGAGCGCTAGCGTGGGCGATTTCCGATTGTGGAGAAGATCATCCACATCCAAGCGAGGAGCAAAGCACCGGCGACCCAGAAAATCGCGGGGGATCTAGCGCAATTGCCATGATATCTTGGCTAGCAAGGAACTGGAAGAACAGCTCAAAGCTCCTCGCAATGCCTCTTTTTTGAAGGGAATGAGACGTGTCCTTAAGCCTTGGCCCTTGCTAAGGACACCATGTCCCTCATCCTTGTCAATGACGGTAGTGAGGTGGTGGTGGTGGTCCTCCAGTTTTGTGGAGGTGGAGACAAAATATTTGGAGTCTTGATCGTCAATCCTACTCTAGCCTACGCACATAAATGTTTCATGTTCCATTCATTAACACTCAACATTGTAAACTCTGGTTTTTAGTTGTATTTTTATATTTCTTATTATATGGTTAGCTTTATTATTATTATTAACTCATTAATACAATCATTTGATCTAGTCATGGTCGTGTTGGAACACGTCTCCACAAGTCTTAGAGACGATCCCACACGGTTTCCGGCATTGGCAAAATCAACTCCTCCTCGAATTGAATGTTTCATATCGCTGGAGATCGAGTTGGACCCCATTGGTTTCAATCTCTTTTTGTAATACCTGCGCATGCATGCTGGAAGTTTCTTCGAATTGGATTGAATCACTTGACCACTGCATAAATTAATGTATAGCTTGTGAGAGACTCAGCTACGATTCCTGTCCTAGCAGCTGTTCTTTCGAGTCCAAGAGAAATTGATAGAAGCAACATTAAGATTGGATGGATGTTTGCCACCAAAAAAGTCTCCAATGGTACATTGCCAGGTATTTTGACGATATGAGATACAAGCTTACATCTTTGATCATGGATTTGTTTTGGAAGAGAAAATTCAACCAGCGTTGAGCCACTGTGGCTTTTGCCAGCACCAAGGAAGGACAAAGAAAGTGATAAGTGAGTCCAACCAAGGCAGCCACAAATAATAAATTAGGACCACATCAAATGAGAAAATCCCATCAGGAATCAGCCATGTATGTGCAACTGCAAGGCTAGTGTAGACATATGATCTGTGCTTTATTTCATTGTTGCTGCCTGTTTTTCCCCTGCCACACTTGCCTGTTGGTACTGACTTGGTGGAGTGTAATAAAAGTAGTGGGAGAGATGGGAGAATGAAATTGATGTTATACTCTGCACTTTTGCTTGTCTTTTTGAAAGAAAAGAAAGAGAGAACCTCAGCAAAAACTTCCTCAGAGCCTTGCATCTGCTGTTTGAGCTTGCAAAAGCTGATAATGGGGGAGCACCCTTTCAATTGGGATAGATTTCACATCCCTGTCACAGTTGGTGGGCTTCTCTAGTTGCACATTTCACACAGCTAGCTGCACATACTGGTGTGCAGATCAAATGGGACAAGCAACTCCACTGTCTCAGGAGGCCCACATAGTTGCAGTGTACAGTGCTCTTTTACCTTTCACCTCTCAAGGATGAAGTGTTTTCTTGCCTTAGCTGCTGCAGTTTTGGAAGTTGGAGTCAGAGAGGGGAGAGGAAGGGTTTGGAAGAATGCATACATGTTCAACCATACATGTTATCCAATTTGTCTCCATGCAGAGCTCAAGTTGCTGCTACACAAAATGTTGGGCATGTCCAAAATTCTGTACAGCTTCACTCTCTGTTGAGTCCAAAATTATAGCAAGGATCAGCACAAGATGATGATCCTCGTGGGAAGTTCAGCGACCAAACAATAAGAAAGTTGACAACCTTTTTCTCAAAAAGAAATTATGGTTCCAGGGTGCACATGAGAGTGTTTTGGAGGTCTGGAAGACACAGTTGGCCACCAACATTCAGAATTTCCGCTGCTGCACGTGTGGCAAGGACGAGAACCCTGATCAAATGGTGGTGGCCAGAAGATCGAAACGTACCCACACCTTCACGATTCGGTTCCAGAGTACAAAACCAAAAAAACAAAATGGGGAAAAGAAAGGTCAGCCATGTTTCATGTATAGCAGCTTTTTCTCTCTTTTCCTTCTGAGAAGAGCACATGAAGGCCACAAGGTCTAAGCATTCTTACTTACAAACTAAACAACCTCTCCGTTTTGCTAAATCCGCCATGGAAACCGCCAGCGTTCGAGCAGTGCAAGTTAGCGAGCAGAACGTATGCTGCTCCATACCCCGGATCCATCCCGAGGATTTGCCTGGTAGCACCAAGGCCGCCATGGATGCTGCTATGACTCCTTGACGCTCCAAGCAAGCACATCCAGTCCAAGGCATCGGCCTCGAAAGGCATGGTTTCGACGAGCTCCCCCGCCTTGGTAAGGCGCCCGGCACGAGCGAGCAAGTCCACCATGCATCGGTAGTGCTGCTTCGAGGGCTGAATCCCAAAGTCCACGCTCATCGACTGGAAGTATGATCTTCCACTGCCGAGATCGCCCTGGTGGCTGGAAGCGACCAACACCGACGCGAAGCACGCATCGTCCGGGGCAAAAACCATCTTCATCCCGTGGAAAGTTTCGAAAGTATGATTGCAGTGTTGCCTGCTTTGAGCTGACGCTGCAAGCACCGCATTGCAAGACACTACGTTTCGTTCCGGCATCTCTTTGAAGATCTTCCTGGCGTCTTTCACGAGCCCGTGTTGGATCGCACACGTCCAGGAGACGACGTTCTTTTGTGGCATGGAGTTGAAAAACTCCTTTCCTTCAAAAATGCACCCGTTTAGCGTGTACGCAGCAAGCATGACGTTCCCTGTAACTACATTCCGCTGAGGAAATCTAAGGTAGAACTTTCTAGCCTCGTCCACGAGTCCACAGCGTGCATAAGCTTCCAGCATAGCGTTCCACGACACCACGTCGTGCTGTGCCATGTCACAATCGAACAGCTTCTTAGCCTCCTCCAAATGTCCAGTTCCGGCAAATGCCGCTAGCGTGGAATTCCACGTCACCAGATCCTTTGCTGACATGGACTTAAAGATTCCCAAAGCTCCGTGCAAGTCCTCGACATTAGCGTAAGCACTAAGCATAGCGTTGTGCGAGAGTATAGTATGATGTGGCATGCTATCGTATAACTTCTTAGCTTCGTACAGATCCCCGTTTTGGGCAAATGCAAAGAGCATCGTATTACACGACACTACGTTCCTATACGGCATACATTTGTACAGTATTTTAGCTTCCTCTAAGTTGAAAGCTTGTAGAATTGCAGCTATCATTGTATTCCAAATAATAATATTTACAAAGGGCAAGCTACAAAACAAGAGTCTTGCTGCCTCTAGATACCGGTGTTGGGCATAAGCGGCTAGCAATGCACTCGCTGTGATTAAATCCTGCCAAGGCATACTATCATAAACTTGCTTTGTTTGCTCAAAATCTCCAACTAGCGAGAAGGCACACAGCATACAAGTAAATGACACGGTATCTTTCACAGGCATCTTACTAAATATCACCTTCGCGAGAAGTATATGCCCGCTTTGAGCATAGGCCGAGAGCAGCACATTCCACGAGATAATATTCCACATTGGCATCGACTCAAACAGTGACTCCACTTCTACCACTTGATCCTTGCGCGCGTAGCCAGTCAAAATCGTGTTCCACGAGAATAAATCCGGGCCGTCTATCTGTCCAAATATCCTGTGGGCCTCGCCCAGATTCCCTTCCCGGGCATATGCCAGGATCATCGCATTGCAGCACACAACGTTGTGAAGCGGCATCGCGTCGAAAAGATACGCCGCATATTCCACCCTCCCTTCAGTGGCGCAGGCAAAGATCATGGTGGTCCAAGAGAAGACGTCTCTACGCGGCATCGCATGGAATATCCTCTGGCACTCGCAAAGATTCCCTTGTTGGGCAAATGCGTCGAGCATCGCATTCCAGGCAATTAGATTCCATCGCGGCATGGAATCGAAGACCTGCTTGGCTTGCCGCACAAATCCATTGCGGGAGTACGCGCAGAGCATGAGAACCCAAGAGAAAGAATCCCTCGTCGCGGCAGCCATGCCGCAAAAGAGCTGGAACGCAAGATTGGGGCTCCCGCACCGCCCATACATCTCGATCAGCTTGTTACACACGAAGACATCGCCGATTAGCGCGGGATCCATGCGGGAGTGGATCAATCGCGCGTCGCTCAGGCTCCGGCAGCTACGCATGAGCTCCAGCCATCGAGTCCTGTCCATGCCATTCAAAATGCCCAAGAACCCTAGTTTAGACGGTGGAGATTTCACCGCGTGGGACTAGTATCGCCAATTGTATGGCTGCGATGTATTTACAGTGTCTTTCCATGAAGAATGAGCTCAGTCGCTTCCTTGCTCTGGATCCACGGATCATTGCGCTGGAGGAGGCGGAGGAGGTACTCGAACAGCGCGACCGGGCAGGGGATGAGAAGCCCGCCGCTGTAAGCGTAGCCAAATTCTTCCTCGGATTGCTGGAGCAGCGCCCCAAACACTGGATGCTGGAGGTAGCGCGTCTTGAGGACGAAGCGCTTGTGCTCCGGGCCGACGTAGACCGCGCAAGATCCTCGGTGGACGTCGCGCGGGATCGAAGGAGGCGATCTCCTGGCGATAATCTTCCTGTTCTTCGGCGACGCAGGGGAGGGCAAGGCGCAGCTCCTGGACGACGCCATTGCGCAAGAGAGGCGCTCGAATTTGTGGCACAGCCGCTTCAAGAGATTGGTGTGGTGATGGTGATGATCGTCCTGGTGGAGCTTGTGGTAGCGCGAGTGATAATGCCGCCGGAAGAGTAGCGCCTTGAGCTTGATCTTCTTGAGCATCTTCATCCTCTCCCTGGAGAGAAATATCGATCCTGCTCCTCCCCCTAGAAATATTTCGTCGCCATCGCGGCTCCTCTTACCCTTCCCTCTCGATTCGGCACGATTTCCTCTCGATTCCTTGCGGGAAATCGGAGGCCGTGCTAGAACGCGCGTGAATCGACCCCAGGCACCTTGAGGAGGCCGCCAAACCAGAGAAGCACCGACAGGATCCGGAGCGACCACAGCAGCCAAGATCTCTGGAAGAAGCACAAGATCACAGGGTCCATGAAATGGAAGAAGCTAGAGAATCTAGAGCGAGCGATTGAAATGCGAGCGATCGCGACAAGGCACAGCAGAGATTCTCACGGGGAGTGGAGAGGGAAGGAGAGAAGCTGGAAGAACAACGCCATGATCGAAGCTCTTGCTTGCTCTTTCCAAGAAATAGGGCAAACCCGGGTTTAAATTGGCGTGCGCCGGACTCGAACAGGGGACCGTTTCATGCAAACCCGGTCAAAAGGGGCGTTGCATCGTATGAAGCGGCGCGTTGAAAAACGTGTTAGTTGTGGGTTCCTCTTTCGGGACGAACTTGTTTGATTAAAATTCCCCAAGGTTTAGTTCGCATGGATTCATAGTTAAGTGATATATCATACATTGTGTTAGATCAACTCGATTCTATAAGGTTATAGATCTTCTCAAAGCCAGAGCTCCCAGAGACAGTGAAGGACCATTGAGAGAGTGAGTGACACGGTTGATCCATCCACGCACGAAGGCAACTTTTGAGCTGAAGAAAAGAAGAAAACGACCACTTGCGACCAAATTAAAATATAAAATAAATGAAGAATAAAAGCCAACAATAATATAACATTAAAAAAACAGTGTTAAAAATAATATTTTGGCTGCGGTCGACCAACACCACCACGATTTCGAGGATATTTGGTTTTCCCATTGCAGCAAAAGGACTACAAAGTACAGTGGTACAAACAATATATGTTTTGTTTCCTTAGAAGCTTTGGTGGACCTTTGGATTCCCGCCACTCCTTTTCAATCAATCGACATAGCTTAGCTTGTGCTCGGCCGGGCCGCTGGCAAGTTTTTAAAGTTGAAAAGCAAGATCAAAAGGGACCTGTCACATAGGGGCGCACGATAGATCGAGACGAGCACGAGAAAAGTGATAGAAAACTCTGTGACAATAGTACCTGGAGGAGAGCTCGAATTCTAAGTAGATTTTGCCGCTGGCCAAAGTGGATTCTCTAGCAAGTGTGATGAGGCTTGGACACTCCTTACCACCACCTTGCAATCGGCATCAACTGTGTAGGAGATCTTCAGGCCCTCGAGAATCACATTGTAAAGCACGAGCTTTTCATCCCCTCCTCCATTATGGAGCTCGGAAGAATCGCCATAGAGTGGCTGCGCGATCTCGCTGACCACTCCATCGTGCGGCCTCTGCCGCTGGCTCAAGGAGCGAATATCGCGAGAGAGAACCTGCGCTATGAAATCATGTAGCTCTCTGGAACTGGAATAGAGTGAGAACCTTTCCTGCCGTTTTCCAACAGGAGACGCTTGTCAACGACAAAGCAAACAAAAGAAGGAAAGATAACTGCAAAGTGGTTTGCGTAAGGACTACGAGTGCGTACCATTTTGTTCCAGCACTCATCGAGGCCATTTAGAGAAGCTTCAGTGAAGGTGACGGAAGCCACGGCGAGTGGATCGTCCTCTCCGCCGGCCTGGAACAAAAGAGAGAAAAGATAAAATCTTGACAATCTTTCGCAAGTGATCACAGAATAAAATCGGGAAATCTTTGGCTCTTACATTGACCCACGTTGGTGCCGAAGCTTCTCTCACGGAATCGCAATATGGAAGATAAGGCTTTATGTCAATCACGGGCTACAACATCACAAATACGACAAGCACCATAAAACTTGGGTAGAAAAGGAGGTCGAAGAATAGTATACCGTGCCATCAACGAGATCAGCTCCGGAAAGCATTAGAATTCCATGCTCCAGACGTTCCACCTGAAGAACAAATTTTTAAGATCAAACACGACAAGAATTTCAGGGAAAAAGATAGAGACCTTTGCAACTGTTAAGCCGATAGGACACGGTCGATGTGGAGTTCTAGTCGCAAAAACTCCGAGCTTGGCACCATTGAGCCTTGGCACTCGTACCTTTTACGCAAAGGAACTAGCTTAGCGCTGGAAATACAAAGAATGTGTTTTGTCACCTTAGCCTTGAAGTCTCGATGGCTCGATAGCTCCCACAAGTTGTGTAAGTCTGTGTTCTCGTGAAAAACGTAGATTAACCAGCAGTGTGAGTACTGCTCAATCCCGTCCAGGGCCGCGGCAGGCACCCCGGAGGACAAAACCAAGCGCGATTTAGCAAGTGTTACGAGGAGAGGTTGACGAGGAGTTCCATTTCTTCACAAAAAAAGAGAGAAAAACTTTTGTTCTCAAATAGAACTTAGATAGAGTTTTGAGTACCTTGTTGAATAACATGATCTCATATACCCGATTGGTGTCATGGGAAAGGACGATGTGGGAGTTTTTCCAATGACATTGCATTGCATCAAGTTTTTTCGCAAGTCCTGAGGAATGGTCAAAAGATTAGAAAGGAAAACAAAAGGAAAGGAACGAAAATACTCACACGCTGTGCACGAATTCGGCCCGTTCTTTCTTCGGCTCTTTGCTTCTGGGATATTTGCAAAGCGTCGTCTGATTCAACGAGCTTGAGCTCCAGTTTGACACACTTTCTTTTCAATCTCCAAACTATATGATATGATCACACCAGAGAACGAAATTTAATCCTTTAGACACCCATCTTCCAAAAGAATTCGCGTACCTTGAATAAGCAAAGCTGTCGCAGTGGAAACTGAAACCACCGCTATAGCCCATCTCATCATTTCCGTGGCCTAGAGCTTAGGGTTCTAGCCTTTCTCGTGTCACTAACGTTGACTTATGCGTTGACTAGTTGACTTTTCAGCCAGCTACTGCCCGATCGAAGCGTTCGCAGCTCGCCATCTAAAATGGCCTTGGCCATTTCTCGTCGCGGTTCGTGCACAATGCCGTGGACATCTCCTGCCTACAAGGAAAACAGTGATTGGATTTTAGCAAAGCTTTGCGAGAAAACTTTACCAAGTCCGCTGCTACATATTTCTCGATAAGATTGTCGAGCTGGGAGAGGATTTCTAGTAGAGCACATCGATCTTTGTGTTGGTTATCTTGATCCCAGGAAAAATTGCCGCTCCCAGCGGAGCTCGCGTCCAGTCGCTCAAGTTCTGCCGAGAAAACTTGAATTAGTAGCAAAAGGAAGAACAGTACCTTCGGGGGTTTTTGCGCAAAGAACTCGAGCAAAACTGCGAAGGCCGGGTGGAATTCCATTCGGATTTGAGTTCATATCCCTGAAGAAACAAGAACAAAAGACAAAAGTGGGACTCCGTAAGAAGATGCTCTTACTGGATGACAAAAGCTTTTCCCATACTGCCATCTTCTTCCTCTGTTATTTTGATCTTGTTCCTGGAGAAGACGTCAAGTTTTGCGTCGTAGAGCGGATCGTCTGGGGAGATGGTCACCCAGATTTCCGCCTGCGAGCAAAGTTTTAAGTGGCAAGATGACAGTTGGTGTGAAGTTTTACCTCGTCAAAGGGATTGTAAGAAAGAGCGAATCCATAGTCCACAGCCAGTGTAACATTTGGAAGCTGGCCATAGCTGATGAACACCTATACTTGAGATTAATTTCGGGACAACAGTGATGCAAAGTAATCTTACTTCATCACCAGTAGCGTAATCTCGATCTGCTATAACCTGAAAGATGCAAGGGTTAGTACATTGCTTTCAGAGAAAAAGGCGAAGGAACCATACTACGACGCAGTTTTTATCGGGGTCATGCGAAAGAATAGACTCGCACTTCCAGTCGTGATTGATGAGATCAACGTAAGGAACCTGGTAAAAAATTCCATAGATGAGAAAGTGAAACTCTATCGAATGAGATCACCATTCCCAGCTCGCAGATGTCCGTCACTCGCCAAGAGCGCGTCGCCACTGTAAAAAACTTGCTCGAGAAATCAAGAAGAAAAAAATTTACGTACCTATCGAGTATGCGTGCTTGAAGGCATCGTAAGACGCAGTTTCTCCAAAGATATGGCGACAACGAGAGATTGCCTGCGAGAAAAAACATAAAAATCCACGAATTTGAGTTAGCACCGAAAGAAGATGATCCATTTGTGATACAAACACTCTGGACGTCCGAAAATTCCATATCCAGCCACCTCTCGCGTTGCGTAGTCTTGAAATAAACCGGACTGTGCCTCACACATTGAAGCTCTTCCTGCTTCCAAAACACCTGGAGCGCTACAAAACTAAGAACACGAGGAAGAAGAAAATGGTAGACTTAACTGTGTTGTTTAGTTCAACCAGCGAGGGAAGAATTCCCATGTAAGGATCCCAGGCTGAGTTCTAGGATAGTTTCTTAGCTCTCGACTTTGCGATGAATGAAGAACACTAGTACCTGGCCTTTGTTCCACTGGGCGAGGATGAAAAGAGCCAGCCGCGACCATTCTGTGGCCTGCGCAGGCAAGAATCTCGCGACTTCGTGTTGCAGGCTTCGAGAAGTGATCATCTGCCAAAGGAGGTAAGCAATGCACATGTGTAGAACAAGCGAGCATCTTACAAGACTAGGTGGAACTTCCAGCATGCGCTCTCCAGCTCGAATTGGACGAGACGCAAACATTCCACTGCAAAGCATTGATCTTGCTATCAAATGGGGCAAAGAAAAACGAGTGAAAGATCGCGATGCTCTCACCGCCCGGAAGAACAAGCGCCAATCGAGAGCGCCGATTGCTGCGCATTGCTTAGGGCGCCTTGCGTCCTCAGCCACGAGAGGAAATGGCTCGTCTTCGAGCCAAGCGCCTTTGAATCGAGCATTCCTTGCTCACAACCCTCAGATCCTCCGTCATCCACCGGCTCAAAAGCAGACACGTGGAACGATCTTACGGTCGGAATCCACCCTATCCAACGGCCGCAGGGGTTTTAGATCCGACGGCTAGAGCTCCAGTGAAGGCATTAGGGTTTTACGATCTTTAGGGTTCTTGGAGGGCGGCCGCAAAATGGCGGAGAGGGGAGGAGGAGGAGGAGGCGAGCAGCGCGAGCGCGGTGGATTTGGCCGGGGCTTCGGCGGTCGCGGCAGGGATCGCGGCCGTGGCGATCGCGGCCGCGGCCGGCGCTCGAGGCGCGCGGACGAGGAGGAGAAATGGGTGCCGGTGACCAAGCTCGGCCGCCTCGTCAAGGACGGTAAGATCAGGAGCCTCGAGCAGATCTATCTCTTCTCCCTCCCCATCAAGGAGCACCAGATCGTCGAGTTCTTCCTCGGTAGCGCGCTCAAGGACGAGGTGATGAAGATCATGCCAGTGCAAAAGCAGACGCGCGCCGGGCAGAGGACGCGATTCAAGGCCTTCGTGGTGGTGGGAGACAACAATGGCCACGTTGGTCTGGGCGTCAAGTGCAGCAAGGAGGTGGCGACCGCGATCCGAGGCGCGATCATCCTCGCCAAGCTCGCGGTGATCCCAGTGAGGCGAGGCTACTGGGGAAACAAGATCGGCAAGCCACACACCGTCCCGTGCAAGGTCACTGGGAAATGCGGCTCGGTGACTGTCCGGATGGTGCCAGCGCCCCGAGGAGCTGGGATCGTTGCCGCTCGCGTCCCCAAGAAGGTGCTCCAGTTTGCCGGGATCGAGGATGTTTTCACCTCGTCGCGCGGATCGACCAAGACACTCGGCAACTTCGTCAAGGTGAGGATTGGTCTGATCGTTCTTTCATTCTCGACGAGTTTTTCTTGGTCTTTCGCAGGCTACGTACGACTGTCTGTTGAAGACGTATGGGTTCCTCACCCCGGATCTGTGGAAGGAGACCCGGTTTACCAAGTCGCCGTTCCAGGAGTTCACGGACTACCTGTCCAAGCCTACCAAGTTGGTGATCGAGGACGTCGAGAAGGCCCCGGTGTACTGAGTAGCACTACTACTATTCCCTGTTTCATCTTTTTGGAGCTTGAATACCAAAGTTTTTGATTTGCTCAGTGATATCGAGTAAGATGATCTTCTAGACAAGCTGCCAGACACGAAGAAAGAGAGATCAGAGTTTTAGATCGAGCTCATGTTCTTTCTTACATCGAGAACTGGAAAGCCTGGAGTTTTCTCGTAAGCGTTTGGGAGAAGTTGGATCATCCGGCGAGAGGATTCGAGTGCATGGTGACTCTGTTTAGCCTGATCTCCGCCAAGGGACGATCTCCAGCACCCGTTTGTGTCTGTAGCGAAGAAACTGTAAGACCACTATCGATCGAAAGCAAGAAAAGTGTGTTAACCTTCTCCATGAGGTCGAGAACTTCGAAGCCATGGATGACTTTGCCAAAGACGGTGTAGAGGCCGTTTAAGTGGGGCTGCTTGGCATACGTGACGAAGAACTGGCTCCCATTCGTGTTTGGTCCGCTGTTGGCCATGGCAAGGATTCCTCTCGCGTTGTGCTGATACAAGAAAGAGAGTAAGAACAATCGCTCAGCTCAATCTTATCATCCAAGGAGAAGAAGAAAGAAAGAAAGAAGAAAATTTTCTACCTTGAGAGACTCGCGAATCTCATCGTTAAACTTGCGACCCCAAATGCTGGTACCTCCGCGCCCAGTTCCAGTGGGATCGCCTCCTTGGATCATGAATCCTTTGATGTTGCGGTGGAAGATTGTGCCGTCGTAGTAGCCGCTCGCGCACAGCGCCAGGAAATTCTACATCTCCAACATGAAAATCTTTCAGTCTCTCTCGCGCTCTCTCTTCTAAGATTTTACCTCGGCTGTCTTTGGGACCTCGTCGCAGAAGATCTCGCACTTGATATCTCCCAGATTGGTGTGCAATGTGATCGACTACAATGAAACAACAAGATTTCAGCTCCAATCGCAGCAGAGACTCTGCTCACCATCGTCTCCCTCCCAAGAACCCTAGACTTGGGTTTTAAGTTAATTCTTTTACACAAAGCTCTTTAAACTTTAAAGACTATGTTGTGGCTTTCTCTCGCAAATAGCTTTCCCAGCCCATGGCTTCCAATCTCTCTGCCTTCTCGATCACCTTCCTTTCTAGCTCCTCTTTGTAGGATATCATCCTGGAAGAGAAGAAACGAGATCGTTTTAATGGGTGAAACCATTGCAAACTCACTTGTCAAGCATTCTCGGGTCCCAAACTTGCAAGAACCTCGCAGCTAAAATCCCTGCGTTTGCTCCATTGTCCACTGCAACCCACGCAACCGGCTCTGGCTACGATCACACAAAGTGACAGTTGGTCGAGAGCGCATTGATTCTTTCAGCTGAACTGGCAACTTACTTGCACAGCGATTGGAAGTTCGATTCCATGCTTCGATGAGCCTTTGCTGGTCGGAACCCCGATCACTGGAAGTGGCGTGGCACCGGCAACAATGCCTGCGAAAACAACGAAAATATAAGCATACGAGTAGAAGATCACCAGGGACTGACCAGGTAACTCGGAGTAGCCGATCGATACGACAACGAGAACTTTGAGACCTTTCGCGTGAGCATCTCTCACATAGTTGCTGGATACTGCTACGATCTAACCACGCACAAGAATAGAGTTAATGCTTCCATCATATATAACAAAACGATATTTAATACCTCACAAGGCACACCAAACGATTCCAGCGCTGCGGCAGCAGCCTTCTCGGGAGTCCCCGCGCAAGTCGTCAAGATTCCCACGACAGGAGGAGCAGCTGCGGAGTTACATTCGCTCGGTAGTCAATCGTAGAATTAATCACAGTACCAGATTCCTTTGCATTGTACTGCTTTGTGATGTCGCTGCCAACAAACGCTTCCAGCTTTTCCAGACACTGCGATCTCCTCTCTTCTCCTTGGTGTGCGATAACCCTGTACAAAAACAACGTTTGGAAAAACCAAGAGAACGGAAACACCTCGACGTACTTCGATTGGAGGTGTTCGTCGGAAGTAGCCAGTATCCTCACGGCCAGAAGTCCTGCGTTCTCTGCATCATCGACGGCTACAGTAGCAACAGGAATTCCCGTTGGCATCTGCCGTGAAAAGAATTGCCTTCTCTTTCTAACTGCGAAAGGCAAATGGTTTACCTGAGCAATCGACAAGAAGGAATCCAGTCCTCTTAATGCTGTGACATCGACCGGAACACCGATAGCTGGGAGAGGCGTAATGCTGCCAACCATTCCTGAACCAAACCTCGAAAAGTCGAGAGAGAAAACAGAAGAAAAAATTCTACAAAAAGAATTGACTAACCGGGAAGGTGCGCAGCACCACCAGCTCCAGCGATAATCACATTGAGATTGTCAAGGTGAGCATTCGATGCGTAGCTATACATTCGTTCCGCGGTCCTGTGAGCCGAGACAATCGTCATCTACGCACAAACGACTTAGCTAGAAAAACGGCATACTAATTCACAGACCTGGTACTTTACACCAAAAAGATCAAGAAGTTTTCCGGCGTGTCTCATGGTAGAAAGATCTGAATCCGAACCCATGATAATTCCCACTGCCGGTTTTTCTAGCTTTGAGAAAACTATATATTAAGTGAAACAGGGAAACGAAAACAAAAAACCGATGTTACCTGTCGGATGTTTGCATTCAGCTTCTGAACCATCCGTGATTTGACGCATTCTTTGTTTCACGGTGGCCATCGATGGCCCCACAACTGTGACATGACCCATTTTTCGTTGTCTCCGAAACTCTACGCTCAGTGTGAAGCCTAAGTCGCACTACTCAATAATGATAGCAAACCTCGCTTGTGGTACCAATGTACACTAGCACCTGGAATGCTAAATGCCTTGTTCATTATCTTTTGTGCGATAGATGCACCGAGCTCACCCTGAATGCTCGCAAACAATGAGCTACAACACGAAGAAATAAGAACGTTACCTCTTCAGCCAAAATGTTATACATTCCTGCTGCTGAAACTTTCATGGAAGTGTCACCGAGTGGCAAGCCTAGGACAGCACGAAGGTGCTGTTCAAACTGCGAAACGTAGCATGCTTCGATAGTAAGATGGCCACTGTTATGCGGTCGTGGTGCAACCTCATTCAGCAAAATCTACAAGAAAAGTTAGAAACAATCAAGAGGCAAAAAATGTATACCAGATTATCAGAAGCCAAAAACTGCTCGACGCAAAAAAACTCCAGCGCCACCAAATGAAGCGACAGCTTTTGCTGCTAGGTCCAGTGCTGTCTTCTCGGCAGCTTTCGGAATCAGGGCCGGTGATAGCACTGTATGGCAGATGCTCCTCCTGGACGAATCAGAGAAGTTCTGAATACAAAGGAAAACGAGTAAGCTAGCCTTGCCTTTGAGTAGTCTCCACCAGTTGATAGCACCGTGTTGTTCCATCTATGCCACGGGCAACCATCACTGCTAGTTCCTAAAAGAATGGATCAGGCAAACGCAGAAAAACTACAAACCTTCTCAAAAGACACCCACTTCTCCGCAAACAGACCTTGCTCAAAACCTCCCAATGCTGCGGTGACAAGAGAAGAACCACTTAGCGAGCAGTGAACACGGAAGGGCTATCTTACCTTTCACAGACGGAAGCAAGTCACTTCTGCTTCTCACTGCGATGTTCCCGCGGCCATCGTAAGCAAACCGGCGGCATTTTAGCATGAACGGGTATCCCAGAACAGAAGCTGCATCCTCCAAGCTTTCTAAGCCAGTAACCTGTGAACTAATGTCGATCAAACATTTCAAAACTGTAGAGCTCTAGACAAACCTCCACGAACTCAGGAACTGGAACACCATACTTTATAAAATGCAGCTTCTGGCGATACTTGTCCTGCAAGAAGGAAACAACGATTACCTACATTTGCTCGGAAACTGCTAACCTGAATCGTCTTAATAGTACTCGAGCTCGGTTCCACGCGAACTCCCTGCTTTTCAAGCTCGTCAAGTGTTCCCGCATCAACATGCTCTATCTCCATAGTCACGACTTCACACCTGAAATGACGAAACGAAGTTTAGCAACGAAAGAACAAGAAAAGCTGGTATACGCTTTGGCGAACTCCAAAACAGCATATCTATCGTCAAACTCCGCAACAACATGACGATGAGCAAGAGCACTGGCAGGACAAATCGCCGAAGGGTCCAGAACCGCGACTTTGACACCCATCGCCGAGCCAGCTTCGCACAGCATTCGGCCCAATTGCCCCCCTCCCAGGACTCCCACCACAGCATCGTCTAGCCAAAACCTCCTGCCAGAGCAAATTCTTCTTCTAGAACGAAAGAAAGACTAAGAGGATTTACCCCGATGAAAGCTGCTGCTGCTGTAAAGCCGCTTCGTTCAGCGCTCTCGCAAAGGAGATCCGAGCGGCAGTGCTCGCCTCGCCGATCCGGAGACGGCATTGGTTTGCAAAGCATCGAGAATGCGGCGGCACGGCTGGCGCTGCCATGAGCTAGAACCCTAATTTCACTTCTAGGGTTTTAGGGAACCGTTACCTTCGCTTGAGGAGTGGACACACAAAACGAGGAAACTAACTGATACAATGACTGCTCTCCCTATCAAAGCTATCACTCCGGCACGAACAGATCGGTCACTGCGACGAGAAGTGGGCGATCGAAGCCGAGACCGCCTTCTCCTTCCTGGCATCGCTTGTGCCCGACGGTGCTCGACTTGGGCACGATGATGCGTAGAATTCCCTTCCCGGCCTGCGCGGTGACGCCCTCGGTGCATGCATTGCGCGGGAGAGCAAAGCGGAGCTCGAAGAGCCAGTTGAGAGCCGAGCCGGGGAGCTCGAGCGCTCGGGGGACCGCGGCGCTGTAGCGAGCTCGGACGCTGATAAAGCCGTGCTGCACCACGACCTCGAGCTCCTCCTTCTCGAACCCGCCCGCGACGGCGCGGATTTGCACGGCCTCTGCCTCGCGGAAGTACTGCCGCACGAACAGATTCTTGCGGGGGCGCAGCTCGCCGGTGAGATCGATCACCATCCAGCTCACCCAACCGCCGCTCCCGTCGTCGTCGTCGTCGTCGCCAACTGCGCGCACAGATCGAGCAAAGGATTAGCGGAGGAGGAAGAAAGAAAGAAGAAAGAGATAGAGACAAGGGAAGTCGATCGGATCGGCGAGCGCGGATGGAGGAACTAGAGCTCGCGAGCCGCTGCGCTTGATCTTGATTCTCGGACTGAGCTCCTCCTTGCGCACCCCTGGCGCCTTGACAAAGCCAGCGCCTTTGGCTGCCGCGGTGGTCGCCGCCATCGCCATCGCAGAGACGCCGCGAAAAACACCGGCATTCCCCAGCAAACGATCCATCCCACCTCGCCAGAAACATGGAATGATGGATGCTTAAATACGTACTACTGGCGATACGGTCGTGAAGCGAGACATGCTAGCATATTCCGTTCCGGCAGTGGTGCTATTGTATATTCTACTAGGTAAATAAAACTCATATAAAATTTTGCAAAACTTCGTTTGTAAAGAATTTAAGATGAACCTTCCATAAATTCAAGCTTTCTAAGCCAGTAACCTGAGAACTATCGTGAGCGATTCAACATATCAAAATTGTAGAATTCTAGACAAACCTCCACGAACTCAAGAACTGACGATTTTGTCCTGGAAGAAGGAGACGAAGATGAGAACCGCTAATCTGAATTGTCTAAATTGTGGTAACTCCCTGCTTTTCAAGCTCGCCAAGTATTTCCGCATCAACATACTAACATAGGTTTAAGATTTTGCTTCCAGAAGTTCTCGACGGCGCGAACCTCAAAAGTCAGCTTTATATTCAGAAAAAATCACTCAAACACGAGACCTTGTAGCCGCTCTTTTTTTGCAAAGCTTTGGTGGAATGACTCATGCTGTAGATGTAGAGCGGCTGCTTGCTCGAAAATCCTCGCTTCCAAAGCAAAAAGACGCTAGAAACTCTTACACTATGGTAGAACCGCGCCCAGATTTCTCCAGGGCGAGAGAGGAATCTCGATCGAGGAGGAAACGAGGAAGCACGAAGAAGAAGGGGAGGGTGGCAATTCTTCTTTCT